CCCCAGAGGCCTGCATGTCTTAATGTCCCCAGATGTTACCACATTTTGGGAGGCTGCGAACCTTTGCAGAGAAAACATGGTTGGCAGAAGTAGAGGTGGTAACTGAGGTGGCCATTAAGGGAAACAGTCCAGAGGTACCTCCCTCAAGAGTCTTCTAACTCCTGATCCCCACAGATAGAACCAAGCTGCATATCAAGCTTCAGCTGTTGGCAGAGGAGGGAACCACCCCAATGGTCATGACTTCCCTGCCAAGATAGACCATACCCTCTGAACTAGGAACCAAAATAAATTCCTCCTTTGAGTTGCTTTTGTTGGGTATTAGGTCACAGCAATGAGGAAAGCAAATAACAGAGAAGGTCTGATATGATATGATATGATATGATATGATATGATATGATATGATATGATGGCATCAGTGCAAGGAAAAATGAGCCTTAAGAATAATTACAGATAAAGGGCTGGCATGATGGCTCAGCAGTTAGGAACTTCCTGAGTTCAATACCCAGCAACCACATGGTGGTCCACAACCATCTATAGTGTAATCTGAGGGCCCCCTCCTCTGGCATAAAGGCATACATGCAGGTAGAACACTCATATACATAAAATAAATAAATACATAAATATAAAAAAGAATTATTACAGATGCATTAGAATCATTAAGACAAAGTAAGAATACACTCACTACACAGTTCTTGATGTGATAGGAAAGTTACCCATCCATTCCTGAACATTTTCCCACTCAGTAAGCTAATACCTAAACATGTGTCTTATTAAAAAGTCTAAACTAGTCATTCTCAACCACTTAAAAATGTCTGTTGATATTTTTTAGTGTAACAAACTGTGGGTATGGAAAAGATAATAATTGTTACTAGCATCTGGTAAACCCAAGTCAAGATACCAAACATACAGGACACAATACAGCACTCCACACTATGTGTTATCCAGGCCAAACTACCAACAGTACCAAGGTTGAGAACATCTTGTTCTAAACTCTTCCAAAATACAAGAGCATATTGCTTTCATTAATATACACCTTGCAAGGTCTTCATTTCTATCTAATCCAGTTATGTCTTAGTTAAGGTTTCCATTAATGTGACAAAGTGCCATGACCAAAAGTAAGTAGGGAAGGAAAGAATTTATTTCAGCTCACAGCTTATAAGACATCACTGAGAAAAGCCAGGACAGGAATTGGAGCAGAAGTCATAGAGGTAAAAACTCAGAGCAGAAATCTACAGAAAGGAATTGGAGCAGAAGTAGCAGAAGTTACTTGCTTGCTCCTTACCACTTGCTCATCATGCTTTCTTATCACACCCAGGACCACCAGCCCAGTAGCAGCACTGCCCACAATAAGTTGGGCCCTCGCACATCAATCATCAATCAAGAAAATGCACCAAAGGCTTGCCCTCAATCCAATCTGGTGGGGGCATTTTCTCAATTGAGGTTCCCTCTTCTAAAAGAACTCTATTGCGTCAAGTCAACTCCATCTTTCCCTATAATCCCAATCTGTGCTATTAGTTATAGTGATCACTTACTACCTTACACAGCTTCTTAACAGCATCTCATTCAGTTAACTGTTCAATCAGCTGTCCTTTGACTACAACATGTACACCATGGCATGCACCCAAACCCACCAACACACACCCATACACACATCATACATACACATACAATAATAATACAATTTTAGAAGAGAAATTGTTGTTATTAATGGACATATAAATAGGTACTTCTAATCAAACCCCTCCTTCTCTATTGCTATGCTACCAGTTTATGTAGGAAGATTACTCAAATCTACTGCTTTCTTCATAAGGCATTTTCGCTATAAGTCTAAGACCAAATTTCTCTCTTCTTAAAAAGATGACAGTCAGAGCCGGGCGGTGGTGGCGCATGCCTTTAATCCCAGCACTCGGGAGGCAGAGCCAGGCAGATCTCTGTGAGTTCGAGGCCAGCCTGGACTACCAAGTGAGTTCCAGGAAAGGCGCAAAGCTACACAGAGAAACCCTGTCTCGAAAAACCAAAAAAAAAAAAAAAGATGACAGTCAGGGTTGAGAATTTTGCTCAGTGGTAGAGCACTTGCCTAAAGGCCCTGAGTTCAGTCCTCAACTCCAGAAAAAGAAAAGGAAAAAAAAAGATAAGTCATTGGATTAAGGCCCACCTAATTCAGTTTGACCTCATCTTAAGTTGAATTACAGCTATAAATATTCTTTTTTCCACATAGTTTATACTTGGGTTCTGAGGATTAGGAAATGTCTACATATTTTGGAGGCTACATATTCATCCCATCAACTCCCCTACAATAACTTTTCCACACAGAAACCATAATAACAAGGGCACTTCAGGCCTTGTCCTGTCCTGCCTACAAGGCTGTGTCCCACTGACCTCTTCCTTCCTCTCCAACTTCATCTCTTGGCACAGTTTTCTTGTACACCAGCTATACTGGCCTCTCTGTCCCTCACACAGGCCAATCTCATTCTTGCCTCAGGCTTCTGTCTGGACATCACTGTGTAGCTCTCTTCTTTTCACCATTCAAGTCAAATCAGAAGTGCCACTTCCTCACAAGAGTCTACCTGCTTAAGTAGAACATCTCAGTGGCATTCTCTTTCACATAAACTTAGTTTCTTTGCAGCATTTAGAAATTATACCAATTATTCAATTACTCCCCTAAGTTTTCTTCTACTTTTTTTCTGGTCCACTCAAACATTTAATTCCATTGGAATTCATCTCTGTATGCTCTATTTGCTTGAAAAACAGACATCCCTCAAATGATTCCAATAGAAAGTCTACCACCTCAAAGAGTTTTGATCTCCCAGCATCTGAGAGGCTCAGGCAAGTTGATCACAAATTCAAGGCCAGGGTTCTGGAGAGAGGGCTCAACAGTTAAGAGAACTAGCTGCTCTTCCAGAGAACCCAAGTTTGATTCCCAAACATGCAGGTTAACAACTATCTGTAGCTCCAATTCCAAAGGATCCAATATCCTCTTCTGTCCTCTGAAGGCACTGCACCCATGTGGTACACAGACACACAGACAGACAAAACAGTCATATACATAAAATAAAAATAAAGCATTTTTTTTAGATCAGCCAAGCTACACATAGAGTTTTAGACCAAAAAAGTCCAAACCTATTTTTAAAAAGCTCGGACCCTTCTTTGAGACACATGCAACATTCTCTGAACCAACGCTCTCTCCTTCATAGACCCAATCTCCTGCTGCTGATTCCACCATACCTTGTCCTCTGACCACACCAAAAAGCACTAATAGACCATCTAAGGATTGGATACACTCTCCCTACTACATAATGAAATCCTAGAAACACTTTAAATACCAGTTTTAGTGTCACCTCTCCTAGGACACCTTTTCTGACCAACTCCTGAGTTCTTCAGTTCCTTCTTTGTATCTTCACCTCAACATCTGTTTACTACACAATCTACAGAATCTGACTCATAAGGATTAGAATTCTTAATACAGAAGAATTCATACATAATATGAACTTATGTTCATATTATGATTAGCAAAAACTAAGTAATAAATGTTAACTGCTTTATTAGTAATATTCAATTGGGAATTTTTACAAGACTATAATTATTATATGTTATTATTATGTGTTATTATTAATATGTATTATTATGTGTTGATGTTTTGTGTATGTTTGTGCATGAGTCAAATCTAGAACTAGTTACAGATGGTTGAGAGCCTGCCTCCATGTGAGTGCTGAGATTCTAACTGCTGGTCCTCTAGAAGAGCAGCCGGTGCTCTTAACAAATGAACCAACTCTCTCCAGCCCCTAGTTCGTAATTATTCATTTGTATAATCTCCCATGCTAGAAAATGAGAAACAAACGACAGAAACCCATTATTCGCTAGCTTACCAACTCATCAATGCCTGACACACACTAAATATTGAGAAGTGCTAATTTAATGAACAATATATGATAGTTCTAGAACAATATTGTTTTCTTTAAAATTTGTAGAGATGAAAAACTGACTGCTCTCCCTGCTTTTTGATTTGGTTCAAATTTGGGGAAGTTTTTAGCAAGTGTTCTATGGTAAACACTATAAATTATTATACTAGAGATGAAACAAATGTGGACTTTTTTTTTTCAGGAAGGGGAGATGAAACCAAAACTGTCTGTCTAGATTCACTCTGCTGTGACTTAGTTCGTAACTTCACATTCACCTGGCTCTGGTCTTGACTAAAGAAACTTACCCGATTCCTAAGCAAAATAACAACAGCCCAACACTTGAACCAAGGAAGAGAGGTGAAAATGCAAGCCTAGCCGCCTCACAAGTCTCCGTCCACGCCAACGTCAAAGAACCACCGCTTCCCCATATTGTGGGATGGCAGGTATCACCTGGGTGTCCCCAAACACAGGCAGCGTTAGTAAGGAGCTGAGGACTGACTTGACAACAGTTGCCAGCAGAAGAAACTAAGAGAAGTTTCCAACGGGAAGATGAAGTGTGAAAACAGTAAGAGTGGAGGGCACACAGCTCAGTCGGAATTGTAATTTCTACTTCGACCCCACACTGCTCCTACCTCTCTACCCGCTCTAGGGGCGCCGCCGCCCACTACCCACCCCCAACACCCACCCCGCGAGAGTCCCACGCAGCTGGACTCGGCAGCCGGGTCAGGACTCACCTCGCCGTGCCGCTTCGCCCAAGGGCCGACTCCCAGACCCGCTCAACCGGCGTTAGGTCCCAGACCTCCGTTTTTGAGTACAACCGCTAAGATGCTACGGCCCAACGCAGTGCAAGGCGACACCAGCGCGGGCTTCCGTAGGCTACCGACCCACGACCCCGGATGTTGATGTGCTGCCTGCCCCGGAAGCGGTGGCCCGAGTGTAGGGCGGAGGCGGCGTTGCCCAACTCTCCGGAAGGAGACGTGGCGGCGGTTGGGTCTCCTGCACCGAGGACGCTTTGTAGTCCCGCCGCCGCCTCCTTCTCCTCCTCCTCCACCACCTGTTCTCCTCGGGTAGAGGAGGTTGTGACGGCGGCTGGAGGACGCGGCAACGGAGGATGGAGGAAGGAGGCGGCGGCGTGCGGAGCCTGGTCCCCAGAGGGCCGCTGTTGCTGGTCCTGTGCGGTCTCCTGGAAGCGTCTGGCGGCGGCCGAGCGCTGCCCCAGCTCAGCGACGACATCCCCTTCCGCGTCAACTGGCCCGGCACCGAGTTCTCTCTGGTCAGTGCCCTCGCTAGCCGCAGCCACCTCTCCTCTTCCCAGCACGAAGCATTCAGCCCAGCCTTCAGTTTTCCTAGCATTCCCTTCCAGAACCTTTTTTTTCAGGCATTTATCTTCCTCAAGCCGGAGTGTCTTCCTTCTTTCGTTCATTGATTCATTCAGCACACTATCTGGATGTGTCCTCCATACTAAAAATTAGAAAATCAAGCGATCACTTCCTCTCCCTCCTTTAAATTCCTTTGCGCGAGACCTGGCTTCCCAACAGTCCCACTCTGTGGAGGAAGTCTTAGAATTACGACCACAACACCTATCCACGCAACCGTCCTGCAGACACAAGCCCCATCTCTATTCATTTTTCCCCTCCAACACATACTTCTTTAATTAATTGTGTGTATTGTGTGAAAGGGGTTCTGTACACTTGAGTAACAAGTGACCTGGGCCGGTGGTTGTGAGAGCTTGGAACTAAACTCAGTCTTCTACGAGGAGTAATGCCCGTTCTTAATTGCTGCATCATCTCTCTAGCCCTAGAATGTGAGATTTTATGATGAAGTCTTATACAGTGCAGAATTATATAAATAATTCTGTCTATAATCTCATGAGAATGAAAATTCTGTTTGAGAGAGTGTAGTTCTGAAAAGTCTATCCATGTAGAGCTACTGCAGACCAATTTATTTTAAAAGGTGACCTTGAGGGCTGAAAAGATAGCTTAGCAGTTAAAAACACTTAGTGCTTTTCCAGAGAATCCAAGTTTGTTTTCCAGCACCTACATCTGGTATCTCACAACAGCTCCGGGGATCCAGTAGTCTCTTAGTCATCTGCCCCCTGTACTCATGTGTTTAACTACACACACATACACACAGTTAAAGAGAAAAAAAATTTTTTTTTTATTGTGCTGTTAACAATAGCATATTCTCATTTCAGATTGGCATGCTAGGGAAAGCAAAGGTTTTTTTGTTTAGTTTTTTAATTATGTTCCAATTACATACCATCAATTCAAGTGGGTCGGTTTTATTGTATTACTCGCTTACTGTTCCATTGAGACGTTAATAGGTATTACTCTAATGCCAAGACAATATGTACCAAGTTAGACACCAAAAGTATAGCTCAGTGGCAAAGCACTAGCCTAGGGCACAAGCCTTCATATGGACAGCACCACAGAATTACTAAGTTAGGGTATTACCATCACCACATCACTTTCTATTTGCCTTGGGTTTTGCTTACGCTGTATTTTATATTCCATTTGTTTCTCTAACTTTCTGTTACATTCTGATGATATCCTTTAAGTAAATGTTTCTCTGGACATAAGTTAGGACTACCTTTGTATTAATGCCATGATCTACTGATATTTTAATTTTATTTTATTTTGATTGGTCTCCAGTGTTAAAACACTTGTACAAAATATTACAGGCCTGAGGAGATGGCAACAAAATCTCAGGTGGACATACTTGAAGACTCGGGAGTTTTAGGCTATTTGTGTGTTTGTTTTTCTTTTTGTTTAGTCTGAATTATTTTGAGAAAAATCTAGATGCTTTCTCTGAATTGGGAAAAGAGCCATATCCTTGTACAAAAGTAAGCTTTCAATAGTTGATCTTTTGAAATTTTTAAATGCTTCTGTAATCTTAACACTTCCCTTCCATGCTTTATTTAATTGAAATAACTGCTGGTTATTTTTATGGGTCAGTTGATTGGACATTTTAAATAACTCAGAAACTGTGTGAACTAGGAAAATTGGCAAACACTGAATTAAAATAGCTGGGGTTTTTTGTTTTGTTTTGTTTTGTTTTGTTTTTCTTAAACCTGTTATTGTAGTTGCTTTTCTTGCTGTTGTTGAGACAGGGTCTCATTGGCCTCTATCTGAAGAATATCCTCTGCCTCGGGCTCCCAAGACCTGGGACTACAGATTATAAGCATGCACTACCATACCTGACTCCTTTCTAGTAATGTATACTCCCAAAATATATGAAGATAAAAATGATTAAAATTATACCTTGTAAAAATGATTTAAATTATACCTCGTGGTCCTTATAAGTGACTCACTAGTCCAGAAAAGTTTTCACTATTGCATCTACTTTATTGAAAACTAGCCAGGAAGGAGTGGTTCATACCTTTAATCCCAGCACTCAGGAGGCAGAGGTAGGCAGATCTCTAAGTTCAAAGCCAGCTTAGTCTACATAGCAAGTTCTGGGCCAACCAGGGCTATACAGTGAGACCTTGCTTCAAAAATAATAATAATGATAATAATAATAAATAGAAAGTCTTTTAATAAACTAAAAATAATTGACTTCCAAGCAGGATATGGTGGCACACTCCTCTAATCCCAATACTTGATAGGTAGAGACAAAAAAATCAGAAGTTCAAGGATACCTTAATACATTGTCTATATAGCAAGTTTGAAACTTGGATTACATAAGACCCTGTCTCCAAAAAATAAATTAAATTTGGCCTCACAACTCCTCATCTTCAAATATTTTGATAACCTTATCACCTATGATGGCCTTTTAAACAAGTATCTTTGGCCATAAAATAAATATACATAGTAATCTTTAGAATATATATTAATAAAGACTGGTTCAAATATGTTAAAATAGTAATAAGCACATGCCTATGGAGCTGACCTGCTTGGCTTCTCCGAGCTCTGCTCCATCTTACTAGATTAACATTGGACAAATTGTTTAATCTCTGCCCCCAGGGTCCTTTTCTGTAAAAATGAGTATAATGCTTCATTTGAGGATGAATGAATTAATAAATGCAGAGTACGTAAAAGAAGATATTTGGGAGCTGGAGAGATGGCTCAGAGGTTAAGAGCCCTGGCTGCTCTTCCAGAGATCCTGGGTTCAATTCCCAGCATGGCTCACAACCATCTGTAATGTGATCTGGTGCCCTCTTCTGGCTTGCAGACAGAACATAATAAACAAATCTTTTAAAAAAAAAAAAAAAGATTTTTGATTCTACATGCTACATGTTCGTTCATATCTGCAAGGTCTTTTTGTCTGTGGATTCACTCAGCCTAATATCAGAATTCTCAGGAGAAGGGATGGTAGCATTACCCTATAATCCCAACACTCAGAAGACTGAGGCAGGAAGATTGCTATGAGTTCAAAGCCACCCTGGCCTCCATAGTGAATTTAGGCAAGACCAACATGTGATATCTCGCTAAACCTTGTCAACAGTTTAGGAAGCAAAGGCAGGAAGATCTCTGAGTTCAAGACCAGCCCAGTCTATACAGCAGGTTCCAAAACAACTTGGGCTATATAGAGAGACGCTGCTCAAAAAATAAACACACAGCCAGGCGGTGGTGGCGCACGCCTTTAAACCCAGCACTCAGGAGGCAGAGGCAGGTGGATCTCTGTGAGTTCAAGGCCAGCCTGGGCTACAGAGTAAATTCCAGGAAAGGCACCAAAGCTACATAGAGAAACCCTGTTTCGGGGGAAAAAATAAATAAATAAATAAATAAATAAACAAACACCCACACAAATACCAAAAACTTGTCAATACCAACAAAAATCAGAGGGAAACAATTAAGTCTAAATGGAATGCATACAGACCTTCTCATTCCCTAAAAAGGAAAACAGTATAACATGTAGTTAAATATTTACATTGCTTTAGTGTTGGAAATTATCTAGATATGATTTAAAATATAAGGGAGGCTATTGCATAGGTTATATGCAAATCTGTGCCATTTCTATAAGGGACTTAGGTATTTGCAGATTTGGTGGTGGAAAGATTTGGTCTGGAACTTATTCCCCAGGCTTCTAAGAGCTAATACTGCCTGTTTCTTTCATTGTCTTGGGAAAACATTGCCCGAATTGTCATTTATATTTAAGATTGCATTGGTTCCAAGTAGTATATAGTATAGTAAAGTTTTATTGAAAAGAGAAAAGAATAGATATACTTACTTAACAAGAAGTTGATCTTTCCTTGCTAGTAAGAGCCAAACAGGCAGTGGTTTTACAAAGCATTACAAGAAGAGAAAAGTGAAGAGACTTGAGTTACCATAAAATATGTATCAGAGAACAGAGGTTGCCTTTTAGTAACATCAGTTACATTAATTGAAGTGTTTGCTTAAAATATGTTGGTTCATACAAGCAATGTACATTTGTTTTCATAGTACAGAAAACTTAAGGTATAGTAAGAAAACTGACATATAACAGGAATGAACTATAGCTCTTATGCTAGCTGACTACAGGTTTTTAAACTTAAGTATAAATTATTTAAAAAATAGCCATGCCTGTTTATTTACATATTGTCCATGTGCTTTGTTGCTAGGGTAACAGAGTTACCACAGATTATAATATCCATAAAGCCTAAAACATTTACTGTATGGCCTTGTAAACAGACATTTCCATGTCCTGACTGCCTGATCCCAAATAACCAACACAGAGGCTGAATATGAATTATAAATACTCAACCAATAAATTAGGCTTATTACTAACTAGCTCTTGCATTTTTTTTTTCAAGACAGGGTTTCTCTGTGTAGCTTTGGAATCTGTCCTAGACCTCGCTCTGTAGACCAGGCTGGCCTCAAACTGACAGAGACCTACCTTGGCCTCCCAGGTGCTGGGATTAAAGGTGTGTGCCACCACTACCCAGTTAGCTCTTACATTTTAAGTTAACCTCTATTTCTTTTTATGCGTTGCCACATGGCAGTACCTTTATTATCATGTCATGTTCATCTCTTGCTCCCTCTGCATCTAGCTAGTAACTCCTCTGACTCCATTCTTCTCCTTTCCATCATCCTTAGTTTGGTTGCCCCACCTGTACTTCCTGCCTGGTCAATCAGCGTTTTATTAAACCAATTTGAGTGACAAATCTTTACAGTGTACAAGAGGATTATTCCACAGCATGGCCCCTTACAGTGAATTGTGCTGATTCTTGATATATATTCCAAAGAAAGGGTATGTCAGCACAGAGGGTCCATGATAACTATTCTTTTTAAAGGAATTTATGTATTCCCCAAATATGTGAAAATAACTGCTTTATGCTATGTTCTAGTGTCCCATCCAACCAAATTCAGAGAACATTTGTAAAGTCCTAAGGATTGTCAGATATAGATGGTGATTGCTGATAGAAGTTATAGGTATTCAGTGACAGTGTTTCTCTGACTATTCTTGGTCTCCTGAACTAGGAGTATAGCTCAGTGGCATATACTTAGCACATATGTAGATCTAGATTCCATTTTCAGCACAACCACAAAAGTAAACCAGGGAAGCCTCGAACTTAAAGCAATCCACTTGCTTCTGCCTCTGGAGTGCTAGACTTAAAGGTGTATGCCACAATGTAGCCTCATAATGCTTATTAATTAGAATTTTAAACTTCATTACTTGTTTTCCCTTATATCCCAAACTTTTATTTTTTTTTCTGTTAGCTTGAACAACAGGATACAATTTTGCATGCCTCTGAAATTATGCTTTAAACATCTTCAGTTGAGCCAGGCAGTGGTAGCACATGTGTTAATCCCAGCACTTGGAAAGCAGAGACAGATGGATCTCAGTGAGTTTGAGACCAGCCTGGTCAACAAATTGAGTTCCAGGACAGCCAGGACTGTTACACAGAGAAACTCTTGTCTCAAAAAACAAAACAAACAAAAAACAAAAACAAAACAAAACAAAATACTAGTTGAAATGATAAATTCATTTGAGGAACCTTTGCTTTAACTAGTACTGAATTCATTCAGTGTAATGCACTTTGACTTTAAAAAAAATGTATATTTTTATTCTGTTTCTAGCCTACAACTGGAGTTTTGTATAAAGAAGATAATTATGTCATCATGACAACTGCACATAAAGAAAAATACAAATGTATACTTCCTCTTGTGACAAGTGGGGATGAGGTATGTTTTTTTATACATACATTGCTGATCCCTCTTACCAAATGTATGTATTTTGCAACCTATAGTCATATACCTTAAAATTGAGAACAAGATTCTGAACAACCTTGTAGCATGAAAACATTAACCCCTTATTACTGTTTTCTTTGATTTGGGAATTCATTTTGGAAAAATTAACAACCAGCTAGGTATGGTAGTTCATACCTGTAATCTCAATACTCAGGAGGCAGAGGCAGAAGGACTGCCATGAGTTTAAGGTCAGCCTGTCCTACATTGTGAGACCTTGTCTAAAATTACAAAAAAAAAAAAAAAAGAGGCGGGGGGAGATTAGTTATTAATGTTTTGAATAAAAAGCTAACTCTGTGCTTGTTTTCCTTTATGCAAATGGTTTTCAAACACAATATCTCAATGTAAACATAGTGTTTTCATAAAGAATTTCTTATAATAAATAATTCTCTAGGTACCTTATGCTTTCTCACTACCTTAGCTCACGCCCTTTTCTTTCTCCTAAAATGCCCTAACTGCCTCTTATCCATCCTTCAAGGCAATGACTTCTTTCAAGATGAAACAGGAGAGGCAGCATGGTAAAATGGAAAGGACACCAGCCTAGGAGCCAGGAGGCTGAGGTATAGGCTACAGTTAGCTGTGGATCCCTGAACAAATTTGAAACTCAATTCTTCCACTCATTGAATTTATTAAGCCAATTTACATTTTCATGGTCTGTAAAGTAGAATATGAAACTCAATGCTTTTCTTAAATTTTGTTCATATTTGAAATCTGCCCAATGCAGCTGCTCTATGCTGTTTTAAGCCCCTTTAAAACAAAATACACCCACATAACCACACATGTGGTTCAAGTCTGAAGTATTAAAATATGTAGGAAACTGAAAAACACCTTTCCACGATAGAACCATCCTAAAACTTTCATAGCTAGAATTTGGGGGGGATATAGGCAATTGAAAATTCTGAAATAAGTTTTCAAGGATTGTTTAGAAAACTTACACATAAAACTTTTTTGAAAAAAAGAATGAATGCTATGGAAGATTTTTCTATGGCTTCATATTTTATACTTCAGTTCATTTGAAAGAAGTAACATACCATAGGCTCTTATTAAAGATGTTGACTTTTTCTCTTTTATTTCCAAGCATTTGTGATTTAACCAATGAATTAATAACTAAACAGCAGAGTTGGATAACGTTCTAGAAAAACTGTATGTTAAACTCCAATTTTTTCTTAGGAAGAAGAAAAAGATTACAAAGGCCCCAATCCAAGAGAGCTTTTGGAACCACTATTTAAACAGAGCAGTTGTTCCTACAGAGTACGTATTTTATGTACATATGAAAGTAAGTCTCTAGCAGCCTTAAAATGGCTTTTCATTTTGCTTCATTATGGTATGTCACATTTTAAGTTAGGTGCAAATCTTATTGCTTAATAGTATGTTGTTCATTTAAATTCTTATACGTGCAGTAGATAGTATACACCAATATCAAAGTATCAGTTACTAAAATACTTTGAATGTTTTTTAATTGAAAGGAAAGCTTTCTTACATGATAGAATTATAAAATGCTAATTGTGCCAGGCAGTGGTGGCACACGCCTTTAATCCCAGCACTCGGGAGGCAGAGGCAGACAGATCTTTGTGAGTTCGAGGCCAGCCTGGTCTACAGAGCAAGATCCAAAGCACAAAGCTACACAGAGAAACCCTGTCTTGAAAAACCAAAAAAAAAAAAAAAAAATGCTAATTGCTATTTTTAAGCTATGTAGAAAAGTAGCCAGGTAGTTTTTACACACCCAAATACATTATAGCTCTATTTCTGTCACATAATCTTCATACATTGCTAATTAATAGAAATCAAATACACTTCAGAAATTTTGCCATTTTGTGTGGCATAATTATAAGTGTCACTTCATAAAAATTTATTTCAGATTTGAGGGAGAATCTGCTCAGCTGCTAAAACTTCAAGTAAAATTCAATATGATTATATGGCTTTTGTGTATTTAAAAACATATGTCTTTCTTAGATTGAATCTTATTGGACTTACGAAGTATGTCATGGAAAACATATTCGACAGTACCATGAAGAAAAAGAAACTGGCCAAGTATGTTTTCTTTGAAATATAAAGCAAAAAATAAGAAATTTCACAATGATATTGATAGTTTTTAAGTTTCAGCTAAAGAAATATGTTTGTAAAATACTTACTGTAATTTTTTTTAATGTAGAAAGTAAATATTCATGAATACTATCTTGGGAATATGCTGGCTAAGAATCTTCTGTCTGAAAAAGGTTAGTCTCTAAAACTGATGATAGTACTACTGGGTTTTGGTTTAACATTTAAGTTCTAATTGAAATTTAAGTCCAGGCATGGTGGTACAGGACTGTAAGCCTAGCATTTCACAGGTAGAAGCAGTAGGATCAGGGATTCAAGGCCATTCTTTTTACATAGCAAGGCCTACTTAGGCAACATGGTACTGACTCAAAAAAAGAAAAGGAAAAAGAAATTTTCCTTGATAATACCTTTTTTGCATTGTTATTACTGTTTATTTCTTTAATATATGTGCATGCACAGAGTCAGAGGCAAACTTCTGGGAATCAGTTCTCTCCTTTCACCATGTCATTCCCAGGAATCAACCTTGGGTCTCTCATAGAAAGCCATTTTGGGAACACTAACTTAAAAAAGTAAAGGGCAGGCCTGAGAAGAGGGTGTGTAAACACCTAGCACATAGGAGACCCTGGCTCCATTACCCAGCAACTTTCACTCAAAAAAGCAGTAAGACAAAAATCTTGTTTCATCTTCTTTAGAAAGAAGTTTAAGGTTCCAAAGCTGATTGAAAGCAGTCATTTGTGTCATATAGATGTGATTGTTCATGCTGTATGTTCACCTTTTTCTTGCATTGCTTCCACAGAACGAGAAGCAGAAGAAAAAGAAAAGTTAAATGAGGCAAGTGATGTATTAACTTTTCATACTTCATTGTTAGGTATGACTTTAGTGACAGAAGCTAGACATATATTCTTTGTATAATGCCTCAAGGAAGTGAGTCAAATAAAATTCACAATTTATGACAACTGGATTTTCTATGGAAAGTTCCATTGCCAACTGAGCATGATGGCACACACCTTTAATTCCAGCATCAGAAAGCAGAAGCAGTCAAATCTCTGTGAGCCTACTCTGCATACCTAGTTCTTGGCTATCCTGGCTTTATACACAAGTGAGACCCTGTCTCAAAAATAGATAAATAATGTTGTAATCCTTTTACTTACTTTTTAAATAATACCTAAATAAACTGTCAGTTGAGCCTGGTGACACGGGGCTGTCATCCCAGCTTCGTGGGAGACTAAGGCAGGAGAATCACAAGTTCAAGGTCTTCTTGGCCTAACTCCCTTCAACATGGTAGAAGGAGAGAACCAGCTCCTGAAAGTTGTTCTCTGACTTCCACACACACATAGAGCTACATGTGCCCATGTAATGTCAAAAATAAATAAGTAAAATAAATAACAAGGAAGAGTGAAGCTGCAGCCCAGTATTAGAACACTGTGTAGCATGTACAACACCTTAAGTTCAATCTCCACTAGTAAAAGAATAATAATATCAATTATGTGTCTGTGAAATGCTGATACCAATCCATCACTTCAATGCATAGCTGTGGTGCTTTCTATGTAGCATTAGAAACAGTGGTAGTAAGAACATTTTTATTGCTTGTTCTCATCTCCTATAAATGTAACAGATAAACTGCATATGTAAATAACAAGCTACCTACCAATATGGGCTCTAAAAATAGAGGCTAAGTGTAGGAACTGTGTTTTATGTATGTGCAGTGCAAAGCTGCTATGCATATACATATTGTAGGTACTTCTTATATGTCCATCAAATGATGGCTTAGAGTAGTAGTGTGTAAAAGGAGCAATTCATGTAGTTCAAAGAACGCTGCAGCCTTAAAATTTGTAGAATCTAAATTATAAACAACATTCACTGTGAGTTTAGTGAAAAAAGAGCTAAGCAGCCCAATATAGTAAATTTTTTTGTTACCTTAGTTTGTTTCTTCAGAACTATTGACAATAACTCATATTAATCATGTGTTTGTACTGTTCACTTAAATGTACATAACTTAACATTTTAATTTTAGCATCAAATAATTTGTTCTGTATTATACTAGCCCTAAATGCATACTTGCTCAAGAACGTAAGAATCAGAACATTAGGGTTGACTTAAAAGAAAGTACAGGAAAGAAAGAAAGAAAGAAAGAAAGAAAGAAAGAAAGAAAGAAAGAAAGAAAGAAAGAAAGAAAGAAAGAAAGAAACGTACAGACGTTTTCATCTTCTGTTTACAAATAAAATGTAGTTTTCTTTCAGAATAAATACCTACCTCATCCTCAAACCCATCTCAAATTTCTAATAAAAGGTCTGCCTACACTCTTTTTCTAAGATCCCCACTAAAAATATTGAAGGTCAGATGACACCCTACTATCCTGTGGGAATGGGAAATGGTACACCTTGTAGTCTGAAACAGAACCGACCCAGATCAAGCACTGTGATGTACATATGCCATCCTGAATCTAAGCATGAAATCCTTTCAGTAGCTGAAGTTACAACTTGTGAATATGAAGTTGTCATTTTGACACCACTCTTGTGCAGTCATCCTAAATACAGGTAAGATGTTCATTCAGTATTCTAAGCATACAGTGCACATGGGCTTTAAAGAATTCATGTTTAGCCTTAATGCTTTTTTTTCCTATTGAATAGGTTCAGAGCCTCTCCTGTGAATGATATATTCTGCCAATCACTGCCAGGATCTCCATTTAAACCCCTCACGCTAAGACAGTTGGAGCAGCAGGAAGAGATACTGAGGGTGCCATTTAGGAGAAATAAAGAGGTATGAGAGTTAACTAATTATATTTTTTCAGTGCTTCCTTTTCCATATTTCAGAACCTGTATCAATGTGTTAATTATTTCTGTAGTATAATAATAGCAATTTATTTTATTCACTTCAAATTTTTAATTCTAATTATTTGATTAATTTCAATTCTTTTTCTTAGACTTGTCAGGATTTTTAACATTCTCATAAATTACACAATTTCTAAGAATTTTATTTAGATTTATTTTATTTTAATGGATGTATTGCATTGTCTACATGTATTGTGGTTGTCTACATGTATATACATGCACAATGTGTGTGCCTGGTACCTGTGGAGGCCAGAAGAGAGTCTGACACCCTGGAAACTAGAGTTACAGACATGTGAGTTCTGGAAACCAAACCCAGGCCCTCTACAAGAGCAGCAAGTGCTTTTAATTTCTTATCTATCTCTCCAGTCTCACGTATGATATTTTCTAAGTTTAGCATCCTATGAAATTTCTAAGTAGTGCTCCAACTAAGCTTTGAAAAAAAAAAGAGCAGCCCTAGCTCCACTCTTAGCATTTTACACTTGGTCTGTTGCTCTCCTTTAACCACCTCTGTGTACTGCCTCCTCTTTTTGTTACACTGTCTTCCCTCTTCATCTGCCTGTTGGGCATGGCCACATACATTTTGTTTTTCAATTAAAGTACTGTGCTTAGAACAAGTGTAGTTCCTGCACAATCTTTCTCCTCACAGTGTACAAAACAAGCTATTCTCTATCCAATTGACCGCCCCCCCCAAAAAAAAAAAACCTAAGTGTTGTTTTGTTTTTGTTTGTTTGAGGCATGGTCTCACTTTGTAGCCTTGGGTAGCCTGAGAGGCACACACTCACACTCTCTCACTCCCCCTCCCTTCCCCACCCTTTGCACACCTTTACTTAATACCTACAAGATAACATCCATAGCTCTTAGGTATAGTTTCCCAGCATAAAACATGCTTGATGATCTCTTTAGTTTTTAATACTACAGCCCTACATATTTCCCCTGATGAGTCTTTTCTTCAAATCCTTATGCGTATATGCACACAAATACAAAGCATATACCTAAGTCACAAATATATATATATACACATCACAAATTTTTCATGTTTCATGACTTGGTCAAGCGTGTTCTCTTGGTAAAGTCTTCACATTTCAATTCTTTGTCAAAGTCAGTTCCATCTACCCCTTCTTTTATGAGTCTTTAGTTCTGGGTGCCCTTATTACTTTGGATCTACTCTAGTAAATTACAGGTTCCTCCAGAGCAACCACCAGATCCATCTACATTTGAGTAATCATAACTGATGATCCTATTCATTCCCAACCAACTCCTTTTTACCCTGTTTGTTACATTAGGTTAACCTTAATGACTTCTACAAAATTAAATGTAAGGATGCAAAACTTAGTAAGTATCAAAGTGCTTAACAAAAGGGAGACAAGAAGCAGACATGAAATCGAAATTTTCCCTATGTGCCAGAGAATTATCATACTTATTACTTGGGGTGGAACTAACACTTGTCTTGACTTTTCTCTTTTGTCACAAAATCCACTTTCTTAAAACCTTAAAATTAAGTGGAGAAAAAAAAACTTTCATTTTTCCAAATTTTTAAGTAATAACAAGCTGTAACTGGAAAACATATCATAAAAGCTCATAAACACATCTGGTTAATTTTAGGAAGAGTCGCCATCTGCAAAAGAAGAGAGATTTCCAGCCATCCACAAACCTATTGCTATTGGCTCTCAGCCAATGCTCACTGTTGGAACAACCCATATATCCAAGCTGACAGATGACCAGCTCATAAAGGAGTTCCTTAGTGGCTCTTACTGCTTTCATGGGGTGAGAAAGTGAAACTGTAGTTTAAATATTTGTCTTACACCCTTATGTGTGGCAGTTACCTAACCCATAGTCATTGGAAGAACGGAACAAAAGTGTCTACAGAAAAATGGCAGGATTCTGCTATCTCCAATGGACATTTTCTTTGTGTAGTCCCATCCCCCATATCTCTACAGTCTAATCTGCATCCATTATATTCTCTTTACCCTTAAAAGCTTGACTTTTCCAAAGGACAATCAGACTGCAACCCACAGATCCAGGGAGGTTACCTAGCAGGGGGGACCCTAGGATGACTGTGGCTTATAATGACTGGGCAAGCTTTAGTGAAACATTTCACTGTTAGGATAAGACTTTGTACCCTATCAAGCTGATGAAAGAATATGCTGGATGTACTTTCAGGAGGGGAGGCTAAAATCTTTTTAGATTGTGGATTAGCCTATAGAAAAATGTCTGCTGTAAATCAAACAGTGAAGGGAAAGATGAATAGGAATCTCATTTACACAACTTAAGGAAAACATAGCTCTGAACAGATGAAGACAGGTTTCTTCTGTATCCCAGAATCTAATTAATATTTATATGTATGTATAATTCAGCTATTATTTGGCTTAAAAGGGCTTATTGGGAAATGTTATCACTTTACTATTTTCTACAGAGAAAATATTTTCCAGTTTCAAATAACCCTGGACTTTTGAATTATAACCTGTTTTTTTTTTATGTTTAAAACAAAAGCTTGACTTTTCCTATGGCAGTCATATATGATTTGGATTGATCATTAGAATAGACATCAGTGATTTATTTCTCACATTTTGGTTATGCAACAGTCACAATTCAAACTTGAGCTAAGTTTAGAAGGTAATGTTTTGCTTCTGACTATTAAAACCAGTGTAAATATACTCAAAGGTGAAAATTTTGTCTTATGTATTTTATGAAAGAGTACAGGAGTTAATTCTTTTTATTTATCTTTTTTTTTTTCCTTTTAGTGGATTTTTGTTATTTGTTTTTTCTTTCTTCCCTTTTTTTTTGGAGACAAGGACTCGCATATAGCCCTGGGTGGCCTGAAACTCACTGTGTAGACCAGGCTGTCATATTTTGTTTTTGTTATACTATTGATTTTAAAAATTATAAAAATTACATATATTTCTAACTGTCTTGTGGCATTGTTATATCAATCTCTCTTCTCGGTGAATAACTTTGTCTGTTTCTCTACTTTAGGGTGTTGGTTGGTGGAAATATGAATTCTGCTATGGCAAACATGTACATCAATATCATGAGGTATAGAATAGCATTTATGTCATTTTACCACTGGATAGATCCAAGTTCCTTATTTGTTTTGCATTGCTAGAGCTCAAACCCAGGGCCTCATGGATATGTCAAATGCTCTTAACATGGAACTACATCAGCAGCCTTGGATTAAAGGTTTTAAGGTCTATGACAGGCTAGTGATTTGACTCAGCAGTTACGAGTGTACTGCTCTTGTAGAGGTCTCAAGTTTGATTCCAGGCAACTCATAACTAACTGCTTGTAACTCTTAACTCTAGGGAATCCAGTGCCTCCCAGATACCTCTGCAGGTACTGTACTGAAGTGCACAACATACACATATAGACACAATTTTTAAAAAATTGGAAAAAAGAATGGCATTAATATTACTTTTCATCTTGAAATAATTTTAATATGGAAATACTAGCCAGAGTATTCCCAATTTTTAGAAACTAGAAAACTTAGTATTAACTGATTCAGTCATCTTGTGGGAACATTGCTCATTAACTACCCATATTCTTAAATTACCATGAGCCTGGTAGATTAATATTTTATTGTGTTCTAATTTGAGAAGTTACTCTTATAGTTTATCCTTAAGAAATGGATAAATAATAAGTGCATTGATTACAGAATTAATCAAACTTAATAAATATACCAAGTTGCTCAGATAATAGAAAATACCATTTCATCTTTTGTTTTTTTAATAGAGTCTCTAACCCAAGCTACTGTCAAACTAACTCTATAGGTAGGGAACACTTTGAAATTCTGATCCTCCTACCTCCACCTCCTGAGTGCTAGGATTATATGTGTGCCCTGCTATGCCCCCACTTTTATAAGAAGATAGGGATCAAACTCAGGTCTCTGTACATTCTAGGCAAGCACTCTATAAAGTAAGCTATATTCCCAGTCTACTACAATAGTGTTTTAATAAGCATTTTAGATAGCTACAGATCCACCTGCCTCTGCCTCCTTAGTGCTGGGATTAAAGGCAAGAGCCACCACCTCCCAGCTTTTTTCAGGGTGTTGTTGTTGTTGTTGTTGTTGTTGTTGTTACTTGGGTTGGGTTGGGTTGGGTTAGGTTGAAGGTTTTGTTTTTTTGTTTGTTTGGGGTTTGTCTTGTTTGGTGTTTTGGTTTTGAGTTTTGGGGGTGGGGTTGGTTGAGATTTATTTTGGGTTTTTTTGTTGTTGTTTTCTTTTCTTTTCTTTTGTTTGTTGTTGTTTTGAGACTGGGTCTTAATAGCCCAGGTTGCAGGCGTGTGCCACCATGCTAAGTATGCTTTTGCCAGTATGTTTATATTTAACAGTGTGCTTGGTTAGGTCAAAGTATACACATTGAAAAAAATGCCTTCCAGAAAGTTGAACCAGTAAACACTGCTATTAAAATGACTCTTTTCCCATGTACTTAACACATTCCTATATACTTTACTAAATTTAATTTGTCCAAGGTCACTTAGCCTGTAACTTTCTGATAGAAAGCTACTTTGGAAGAAAATAACAACTAGCAAGCATAGTGCTGACTATATGCCAGGTACTGACTACTTTGTATGTATTAACTCATTTAATCCTAAGAACACCTTTCGTAAATTGGTCCTGTTATTCCAAGTTTCAGAAACAGGGTTTAGTTCCTTGCCTAAAATCCCATAAGCAATAAATGATAAGGCTGGAATTCAAACCCAGGCAGGCTTGTTCCCTATGTGGCTTTCAAATCCCTGTCTGGAAATTAACAAACCTAGTTGCTGGTGGGGTGTGGGTGGAATGTAATAACTCTTTTCCATTAGGCAATAAAGTCTACTAGGGAAATGGCCCTGCATGTTTCACTGGCCACTGAGTAGGTTTTCTGTACTATTAATCAGAAGTATATTATTACCTAGCATGGTTATCTGGCATAAAATATGAAGGGCAACAAGGAATAAGGAAAGAAAAGACGGAAGAGCTTACTTTTATAAACAATACATAGTATTTTTTAAATAATAAAGGCAGAATCCGGAAAGGGATTCGGCACAGTCTTTAAACAGAAATGAGTGTGCCATCAAATGAGTTATGGAGACTAAAACTTCAAAGTTCTTATATAAAAGTAGAGAGGTAAAGTGAAAATGAACTTTGGGGTAAGGCCTCTTAGTCCATTTTGTACTGCCATTAACAGAATACTACAAACTGGATAACTTAAAAGGAAACTAGATTTCACATTTCTAAAGACACTCTTATCAAAGTGTCTGCCATCTGGTGAGGGCCTTCTTGCTGCTTCGTTTAATGACACAAACCAAGAGGAAGAAAGACTGAGAGAGTTTGGGGGCTATAGAGATGGTTTGGTAATTAAGAGAAATAACTGCTCTTCCAAAGGGTTCAATTCCCAGCACCACATAGTCACTATCTGTAACTCTAGGCCCAGGAAATCCAACATATTGTTCTGGTCACATGGGCACCAGACATGCATATGGCACACATACATACACGTAGGCGAGGCACCCATACACATAAAATTAATGAATTAATTAATTTTTTAAGATAGAAAGGATAGGAGCATAAATGGAAATCCTCCTCTTAGAAGGATACAGTACTCAAGACTTAAATATCCTCCATTAGGTTCTACTTGCCCACACTGTAATTCTAGGAACTAGGTTTACAACACGTTTTGGGGGAGATAGATTTACCGCACAACAAAGATTCAGTTCAGAATCACAGTAGTAGTGCTAGGACTGTAATTTGGTCATAAAGCTCTTTCCCAGTATGCACAATTCCTGGGTTTGATGCCCCTTTCATCTCAAAACAGCATAGTAGTATGTATGTAATTGTATAAATAGGTATGATCAATTAAATTTTTGGTTGGAGGTGGTGCAGTGTTGGCATTGAAAGTATTAGAAAGGAATCCAAAGAGAAAGGGTCTGGCAAAATGGTTCAGCACATGAAAGAACTTGCTTGTAAGTCTGACAACCTGAGTTTGAGCCCCAGATCCTGAGGTGGAAGGAGAAAACCAGCTCCTAAGAGTTGTCCTCTGGCCTACCTCCACAGCACTGTCAGTGCATGTGTCTTCAGTTATGTATGTATCATGCACACATACAATGATAATAAATAATTTTTAAAAGAAGAGTCTAAAGAAAAAGATCTCCAGGAAGGAACTAATACAACAGAAAGAGAGGTAAGAAAGGGAAAAGATACTGAGTTACAAGCTACTCCATCTGGAGCTAGGCTAACTAGAAATTACTTTATTCAGAGAAACAGAATAAAGATCATTTAAATTTCTGTTTCCTGAGTTTGACTGATATCATTGCATCATTATCCAGTGAATGGATGAAGATGGAGACTAGGGCTTAGAGGAAGGTCTGTTTACTCATGTCAAATATGCATTACTACAAACATTGTCAGGCTCAAATACACAGTAGCTCATCTGGTGAAGGAACCTGATGTCTGCTCACTTACATAATACATGCCCACATAGGAAAATAAATGTAATTTTAAAACTTCGTATTTTTCTACATACTAGGACAAAGATAATGGGAAAACTTCTGTGGTTGTGGGGACATGGAACCAAGAAGAGCATGTTGAATGGGCTAAGAAAAACACTGCTAGAGCTTATCATCTTCAAGACGATGGCACCCAGACAGTCAGGTAAAGACTGTTTGCCTTTAAAACTGATTAATAGGATTTTTAAAACTCAAAATATTGACAGATTAAAATTTTAAATATACAGAGCAGGGCATGATGCTGAATGCCTTTAATCCCAGCACTTGGGAGGCAGAGGCAGGCAGATCTCTGTGAGTTTGAGGCCAGCCTGGTCTACAGAGTGAGTTCCAGAACAGCCAGGGCTATGTAGAGAGACCTTGTCTCAAAAAAAAAAACAAAAAAAAAAAAAAAACGCCAATCCACAGTCTTGGATTCAGGCAACCTAAGTTCAAATGATGCCTGTCTCTTCAGTAGTAATATAATACCCTGGGCAAATTACATAATCTGTAAGCCTTGCTTGTCTAATAGTATATCCCTATAAGGTTATGAGGATGTTTAAGTAAAATAACCTACCCTAGTAATAACATTCAATAAATTACCTGCTGCCTTTAACAGTGATGGTGGTATGAAACTGGTGTGATGGTGCTGGAGAGATGGCTCAAAACCACATGGTGGCTCACAGCCATCTATAACTAGTGCCATGGGATCTGATGCCCTCTTCAGGTGTGCAGATATACATGTAGACAAAATACCCAAATACATACATTAAAAAAATATTAAAAATTTAAAAAGAAAACCTTTAAGAGGGCTAGAGAGATGGCTCAGTGGTTAAGAGCACTGGCTATACTTCAGAGGTCCTGAGTTCAATTCCCAGCAACCACATGGAGGCTCACAACCATCTATAGTGGGATCTGATGCCTCTGTGGGCATTAAGGTGTACCTATATAAGGTGCACTCATATACATAAAATGAATAAATAAATCTTTTTTAAAAATGTTTAGAAAAAATAAAGATTGCCAGTGATGTTAGTGACAATGATTCATTCTTTTGTTATTGTTTGTTTTTGTTCTTTTTTTTAAGATTTGTTTTTATTTTGTGTGTATGAGTGTTTGCCTGCATGTATGTGTGTGTGCACCATTTGCATGCCTATTGCCCACAAAGACCAGAAGAGGGTGTCAGATTCCTTGGAACTGGAGTCACAGACATTTGTAAGCTGCCACATGGATACTGGGAATTGAACGTGGGTCCTCTGGGAGGACAGTGAATGCTTTTAACCACTGAGCCATTTCTCCAGCCCCAGTTTTTTTCTTTTGTATAGTGATGGAGATTGAACCCAGAGCTTCATGATTAATCATCATCCATGCTAGGCAAGTGCCTAATGCTGAGCTACCTCCCCACTTTCAATAATTATTTGATTTGATTAGAATTAGAGGTCTTCTAAAGTATTTGTGTTTGTTAAATTTTTAATTTGTTAAGTATACTTTATTTTTCCTTGTTACTTAGTTTTTGTGAGGTAGTGTTCACATACCTTTTGTACTATATGGGTATATTTTATTATTACCAGAAGAAGTTAATCTTACTTCCCAAAAATAATTAACTATGCTTCAGCTTTTCTTGTAGTGCCTTATACAGTGAATTTAAAAGATTAATTCTTTTTTTTAATTTTTTTTTAATTATATATATATAGTATTCTGCCTCCATGTATGCGTGAAGGCCCGAAGAGGGCATCATATCTCATTATATATGGCTGTGAGCCACCATGTGGTTGCTGGGAATTAAACTCAGGACCTCTGGAAGAGCAGCCAGTACTCTTAACCTCTGAGCCATCTCTCCAGGCCAAGATTAATTCTTGTTCACTCTCAAATGTTAACTTTTGTTTCTTCCTGGAGCAGATAGTATTGAGAAATCGCTTTCAAAATATGCTGACTTTTCAGGCTGACCAGAATCAAAGTTAGGAAAATTAGAATAGAGATATTTAAGTGTTCAGTGTACTAGACAGATTATTTTAGGCTTATGTTGCCTACAAAATTAGCTTTTAGTATCATGTGCTCAACATTGAAGCATAGAAGACTGTGACTAGAAAACATAAAGCTTTTGCGGGGGATATTGCTCACTTTGAAAGTTATTCTTTGGCAGAGGCTTGCCTTTTGTCCCACATACATAATAATGTTTAATGGGATTAGGTTGATGGAAAAGAGAAAGGAAGAATTGTTTTACTAAATAAACAATATACTGGGCTGAGGAAGTGGGTAACTTTAAAACTGCAACTTTTATTACTATGTTTTGTTTGGGTTTTTTTTTTTTTTTTTTGGTTGGTTGGTTGAGATAGAATCTTGCTGTTAGCATTACTGGCCCCAAACTCACAGCAATCCTGCACCCTTATCCTTCCAAGGGCTAGAGGTATTTTATCCACCACACCAAGCTCAAAACCTTGAGTCTGACCTATATGTAATATGGATAGCATTAAGAAAAATAGTGCAAAGTTTCTTTAATTAATATTTTCTTTATAGAATCTGTGATGTAACTTTCTCACCTACCCATTATAGTTATTCTAATTCGTAAGACTGTAATAAAGTTTGTATGTTTCTCCAATTCAGGATGGTGTCACATTTTTATGGAAATGGGGATATTTGTGATATAACTGACAAACCCAGACAGGTGACTGTAAAACTAAAGTAAGTTGAATCCTTTTGCCTACTTTTTATTGACAAAGTTTTACATAAGATGTACTAACTAAATAATTATAAAACTGTGTTATTGATCTTAAATTATACCAGGTCCATTTAAAGATTTTCATAGCTTAATAAGATAACAAAAATAATTCTATTTTTATGACATAGGCAGTACCTTAAAGTGCTCTGTATTTTAGGTGTAAAGAATCAGATTCTCCTCATGCTGTTACCGTGTATATGCTTGAGCCTCACTCCTGCCAGTATATTCTTGGGGTAAGTAAATGAAAATAATCAAGAGCTCTCATCTAGAGTGCGGGAAGTCCTGGATTCAATCCCAGTACCACCAAGTGAAAAGAATTAAATTTTGAACATACTTGAACTTTTTTGTCTTAAATCTACAAAGGGCATTCTAAGACTTAATAGATATATTTTTCTTTTGGGGTATTATTTACATAAATTGCACAAAGGCCTACTCAGTTGGTAGAATGTTTTCCTAGCATGCATGAAGCCCTGGGTTCAATTCCTAGCACCACATAAAACCAACCAGACATGAAGGTACATACATCTGTAATCCCAGCACTTAAGAGATAGAGGCAGGAGGATAAATTGTTCATATCATCTTCAACTACTCAAGGAGGTCATGGCCAGGCTAGCACACATGAGAGCATGTCTCAAAGCACAGATCGTAAATGATGAGTTTGATGATATTTAACCATTTTAAATAGTCTTGTAAATATCAACTGAAGGTCTGTCACAGCAGGAAATTCTCTCATACCCCATCACCAAAGGATACCTCTTTCTGGTTTCTGATACTATAGATTACATATGCTTCATTTGGGATTCCACATGAATGTCGTTCCCTTGTATGCCTGGCTTTTCACTCAGTTGTGATACAGTTAATTAATTATTAAGTTATATTTATCAGTACTTCATTATCTTTGCGTTGCCAGATCATATTCTTTTCTGTAACTCTACTACATGTGCTTAATCATTCTTCTGCAAGGGACATTTGATTTGTTTTTCTTTTTTTTTTGGTTATGATGAATAAGTCTGCTATGAACTGTTTTCACAAATCTTTCTGTGCTTATATGTTTTCATTCATTATGGGTAAATACCTGTGAGTGGAATTTTTAAGTCATGGGTAGAGATACATTCTACAAAATGATTCACCAAAATGCTACTGCCATTTTAATCTACCAACAGTGCCTGAGAGTCCAGTTACTCCATCTCCCCACTAGCTTTATTTTCAGTCTTCTTTGTTAGTCATTTTAGTGGGTTTTGTTTGCATTCCTCATACAAATACTGAAGACATGTTTGTGTCATCATTGGCCCTCATATGCTTTTGTGAAGCCTTACATCTAACCAGACTTTAATACAGAATAGTTCTTAAAATGGTTAAGAGGACTTTTATTTAGTACTGTTTTTATCAGTACCAAGACTTACAGGGAAGAACATTTGATCAAAATACATTGTATGCATGTATGAAATTCAAAATAAATAAATAAAGCAGAAACAGGTAAAGCTCAGCTCTGAATACAGAAGAGACAGCTCAGGATCAATAGCCAACAGGCCAAATGAGAGGAGTTACTAAGTAGAAAATCACAAAGAGACATCAAGAGTCTGGGCTTCTTCTTAAAGCAGCCAAAGTGATCAGATACTGAGTGTGGATGTTCTCTCTTGGTACAAATGGACTAGGCAGGCCAAAGACAAGGCCCAAGACATAATTGGACAGAGGCTCAAAGGAACCTGACTGCTGGTGAAGGAATAGAATCTATGTCAGTCTCTTACCCATTTTTGCTGTTGTTACTTATCTTCTGATTGCTTGATTCTAGGAATTCAAAAATATTCTAGATACAAGCTCTTTGTATTGTACATACTTTTTCATACTCTGTGGTGGCTTCACCTCTAAAAAGACATTTAAAAATGTCTTCTGATAAGCAAAATCATATTATTCTATTATGTTCAGTTTTTTTGTTTTTTTGTTTTTTTTTCTTTTATGGGTACTGCTTTTTTGTGTCCTAAGAAGTTTTTGCTACCTCAGAGTCATGGAAACACCCTCTTAGATTTTTTTTTCTAAAGACTATAATACTAACTTTTTTTTTTTAATTTATTGAATATACAGTGTTCTGCCTGCATGTGTGCCTGCAGGCCAGAAGAGGGCATCAGATCTCATTATAGATGGCTGTGAGCCACCATGTGGTTGCTGGGAATTGAACTCAGGACCTCTGGAAGAGCAGCCAGTGCTCTTAAACTCTGAGCCATCTCTCCAGCTCTATAATACTAACTTTGATTATGTTCTAAGTATGCCTTTTTCTCTTCTTATCCTCTGTGACTTAAACATAGCTTCTAGGCTTTTGGGTTCATATAAATTTTAGAAAAATTTTGGCCATTATCTCCTCAAAGATTTTTTTCTGCCCTATTCCTTTTTTCCTCAGTTTCTGAAATTCTTTTTGATTTTTTGAGATAGGGTTTCAATGTGTTACCTGTCCGTCCCAGAACTAGCTCTGTAGACAAGGCTGGCTTCGAACTCACAAAGATATATCTGGTTCTGCCTCCTGAGTGCTGGGATTAAAGGCATGCACCACTACCACCCGGCCTGAAATTCTTATTAAACATATTAATTTGAAATTCTTTGAAAAATCTCAGAAACTTCCTTTTATTCCCACTTCCACCCCCTCCCTGCACCATATTTAAGTGCAGGTCATTTCTGTTAACCTTCACCAGTCTAATCACATCTTTTACCATGTCCAGTTCATTGCTGAGTTCATCTGTGGTACACTTTTCATCTTTTACTATTTGCACTGGATTCTTATGATTTCTTTTTCTCTACTTAAATTCTCTCTTGTCACATGTTGTCTACTGTTTTTCCTGGTATGTATTTGGTTTTTTTGTTTTGTTTTGTTTTGTTGTTTATTTTTTCACAGTTATCATGACAGCTGACTCATCTTTAAATTAGTGTTTACTTTGCCTCTCAAATAGAAGTGGTTATTTTGCCACAGTGTTTTATTGTTCTAGTTATGTAAGCTCCTCACATATTCCCATCCTTTGTACCTCGTTTCTGTTGCCATATTTACTTTGAGATAAAAATGTTTTCTCTACCTATCTCATATTTTATATGAATGACTAAAAATAGTGTTTCTGTAATCTTGATTAATGCCAAGCATCATGAAACCTGCCTGTAATGCAGCACTCAGGATTGCCAAGTGTTCAAGGCTAGCATGGCCCTATGTCAAAAAAAAGAAGAAGAGCCTAATTTGTAGGGAAAATGTTGGGTGGTTTATCTAAATCAAGAACCTGTACAGTTAGCAAATATATTCATTGAGGAAAAGATACTGTTAGTTTCTAATGTCATTGCTGTTTTTCTTCAGGTTGAATCTCCAGTAATCTGTAAAATCCTAGATACAGCTGATGAAAATGGACTTCTTTCTCTCCCCAACTAAAGTATATTAAAATTGAAGGAAAGAAAGATGATTGAAAGTCATCACTTCCTCCCAACCATGTCTCATTATAGAGTCTCACCATTGGACTCTGTCTACAGTATCACAAGAAAGGACTGGCAATACGATGTGAAATCCATGTGTATATAGAGGTTACTGATAAACGTGTAAGGCAGATGCTTGTCTCACTTCATTTATTTTGGTGTTATATGAACTGATTTCATTTTGACTTTGCTTGGATAATGTGATTTCAAAATCTGATTCAAGCAGTTTAGAGTCTAGCCTATTCAAATATCATAATCTTGTACTTATTGAAGTACTTTTAAATAATATACTTATTGTGTAAATTACAGCATATATAATGAGCTAATGAAGTAAAGATAATGAAGAGAAAAGTTGCTAGGAGAGTGTTTCATTAAATATGAGACCATGTATAATATGTAAAATTCTAGTGCTTGAAATCTTTTCAGCAAATTTTTCTGTGGCCACTGCTCTGTGTCAGGCACTAAACTAGAAGTAGAAACAGAGTAGAGCCTCACAGATGAACCAACACCACTGTTATCTCAAGAAGCTCTTTTTTATGGCAGGTTGCTCCTCTTCCTGAACTTTTATGATTCTTTCTTCTCATAAGTGAGTTTATTACCAGTGTATATGTGTAGTACCAACGGTTGGTGTCTTCCCTAAATTAGAGTGGTTCATTCTAAAACTCACTGTGCTGGCTCTCTGTTGTACCTTCCTGCTGTATATTATAAATCTTAGTTCTGGACAGTTTTACAGCACAGTATTTATTTCAAAGAGAATAAAATGTTCATAAGCAGTCTTTTCATGTAATCAGTGACAGATTATTTAGTTCCTTTATTTTCTCCTTTATCCTTTTGCATATATTTTGTACATACTTTCTGAACAAGGACAGAAAAGTAGCCATAAGGGGCTGGGGCTGGGGGGAAGAAGGGGAAGCTCAGAGATATAGCACATTAGCATGTTTGAGGCCTTGGGTTCAATCTCTAGAACCAAAAATAGTGTTGGATGTTGGGGTTCATGCCTTTGTTCCCAGCACTAGATGCAGAGGGAGAAAAAAGTTCAAGGCTAGCCTGGCCTACATAGCTAGTTCTACACCAACCACGGCTACAAAGGGAAAACCTAATTTTAAAAGTCAAAACAAAAAGAAAAAGTGGCCAGAATACTCCTGAAAAACAATACTTCTGATAAAAGCTATATTAAGAAAGGGTTTGTGGCCAGGCCTAGTAGCGTATATTTTGTAATCCCAACACTTAGGAGGTGGACAGAGGAAAATCAGAAGTTCAAGGTCATCCTCTGTTACATAGTGAGTTTGAAGCCAACCTGCGCTGCAGGAGACCTTGTCTCAGAAATAAGTAAATAAATTCCTTAATGGCCAGTGGGAGTTTAGTGCTAAAGCATTTGCCAACTGTATGTAAGACCCTAAGTCCATTCAGTCTAGAACAGTGATTCTCAACTTTTGGTTTATGATGCCTTTGGGGGTTGAATGAGGCTTTCATAGGGTCATCTAAGACCATCAGAAAACAGATACTTATAATTCCTAACAGCAAAATTACAGTTATGAAGTAGCAACAAAAATAATTTTATGGTTGGATGTAATGAGTCTTTTTCTGTCCCACCAGCCAGCTCCCACATAATGACATGGAGACTTAATTATAAAAACTTGGCCAATAGCTTAGGCTTGTTCCTAACTAGGTCTTATAACTTAAATTAACCCATTTATATTAGTCTATGTTCTATCACATGGTGTTACTTCTTTTCCATCTTGCACCTCCTGTTTCCACTCCGTTTCTCCTGATATCTGTTGTGTGCCTAGATTCCTCTTCTTCTTCCTTTCTCTCCCCAGACATCTCACCTGTACCTCCTGCCTAGCTGTTGGTTGTTCAGCTTTTTATTACAACAATCACAGCAATACATTTTTCACACAGTGTACAAATATCCCACAGTTGGGGTTCACCACATCATGAACTGCATTAAAGGGTCACAGCATTAGGAAGGTTGAAAACCACTGCTCTAGGAGGAAAACAAATTTGTGGCTGGGGGCTGGAGATGCAGCTCATTGGTACACTGCCTAGCATGCAAAAGATCCTGGATACTATCTCTAGCACAGCACAAGAAAAAAAAAAGGGTAAATGGCTAGACATAGTAACATAGTGGCTTAACCTCAGCACTTAGAAGACTAAGTAAGGCAAAAGGAGTGCCTAGGTTCACACGCTCTCTAGTTTATTATGAATGAGATTGGGGGGGGGGGAAATTCAGCTGTTCCTACATAGCATAGAATGCCCTAGGTAACCAAAAATATATGGATATTTTTATTCTATACCAACCAAATTCAGCACCTTTGGGTATCCTACAATTCATTTTAGTTCTTACACTTACCTACTTGGACTTAGCATCAAACACCACAAGTAAAAGGATTGAACCTTACCAGGCTGCCACCATATCAAATGCCAATTGCAAGTACTGGTCTCTAACTTTTTAAAATTTTATTTATTTTTATTTATATGTATGTGGACCTTTTGGGCTGTATGTGTACCGCATGTGTGCAGTACCCATGGAGGCCAGCAGATGACACTTGAGTCCTCTGGAACTGGAGACACAGACAGTTGTGAGCCACCTGATGTAGATGCTAGGAACTGAACTCAGGTCCTCTAAAAGAACAGTAAGTGCTCTTAACCACTGAGCCATCTCTCCAGTCTCTGGATTCTAATACCTTCAATCAGCCAGCTCATAAAGTCTCAAGACTGACTCCTTGGTCTCAAAAGTTTGCTAGAATGGCTCACAAAACTCTGATAAATACTTGGTTTACCAGTTACAAAGGAGATAGTATTGATACAGTCAAATGAAAGAGATAAATAAGAAGCTGGGGTAGGTTTCAGCTTCCACACCCTCTCTGTGACACCTCAGTCTACATATGGGCACTCTTTGGATCTCAAAAGTATATATGGTATCACTGCCTGGGGGGCTAGCCTCCAGCAGTGCAGGGCTCAAAGGGAGGCCACAGAGTCAGCACATACAATGACTTTTTTATCTGAAGGAGCTAGGAAAAAAGACACACTCTTGATGGTTTCCTTCAGACCTTTCCTTTACTCTCCTTTTGCATTCTCTATTCTTTATTTTCCTAGTGATTTCCTTCTCTCATTAATGTTTCCCTTCTAACTCTATCTTTAATCTTGATGTTTTCCTTCTAACTCATTTTTAACTCGATCTTTATTCTTTCCCTTACAGCTTATATATCCCAGCAAAATCTTTCAGGCAATATACAAATTACAATGTGGTTACATTCTGTTTTTCAAGTGAATGATTACAATGAATACAAGTAAAAAACAACTTGTTTTTTACTTACATGATTAAACATTTTACTTATTACAGATGAAAAATAGATTATTCCAAGAACCCCACGTACATTCATACCCAAGCAACTTGTTATAGATTAACTGTGGAAGCAAGCAAGATATTCTTTTACTGGCAGGCTGCATTTTGCAGTTACAAAGAAAGGACCAATCATTTTATTACTTACCTTGAAAGGTAATGTTTTTGTTTGGTTGGTTGGTTTTTGGTTTTGGCTTTTTGTTTTGTTTGGTTTTTGTTTTTCATGTCCGGGTTTCTGTCTATAACTGCTCTGGCTGTCCTGGAACTCACTCTAGACCAGGCTGGCCTCAAACTCACAGAGATCCACCTACCTCTGTCTCCCTCCCAAGTGCTGGGATTAAAGGCGTATGCCATCACTACCCAGCCTGGAAAGGTAATCTTATAAGAAATCTTAAAGGAACCACAAATCTAAACTTTTATATATGAAAAAGAATCAGTCAGCTCTACTTTAAATCTTTAGGGCACATACTTACTCATCAATAGTTTTGTGTTTTTTTTCTTTATATCAAGAGATTGAGGGCAAAAAATAGATAAAAGAAATCAATCCAAAGCCGGGTGGTGGTGGTGGTGGTGGTGGTGGTGGTGGTGGTGGTGGTGGTGGTGGTGGTGGTGGTGGTGGTGCATGCCTTTAATCCCAGCAGTCTGGAGGCAGAGCCAGGCAGATTTCTGTGAGTTCAAGGCCAGCCTGGTCTACAGAGCAAGATCCAGGACAGGCATCAAAACTACAAAGAGAAGCTTTGTCTCAAAAAACAAAAAGAAAGAAATCAATCATTAATCAAGAAAATGCCCCATAGACTTGCCTACAGGAAGCTTTTTGCTTACTTGCTTTCTCTTTCTTTCTTTCTGCCTGCCTGCCTGCCTTCCTTCCTTTCTCTCTTTACTTCTCCTATTCTTTTCTTTTTCTTTTTTTTTGGGGGGGGGGTTTGTTTGTTTGTTTGTCAAGACAGGGTTTCCCTGTGTAGCCCTGGCAGTCCTGGAACTAGCTTTGTCAACCAGTCTGGCCTTGAACTCAAGGCCTGCCTCTGCCTCTGCCTCAGTACTGGTATTAAAGGCGTGGGCTATCATGCTCAAAGACACACTTTCTTAATCCAGGTTCCTTTGCTTGTTTGTTTTTCAGTTTGGTTTTTCAAGACAGGGTTTCTCTGTGTAACAGCCCTGTATCAGCTCTTTAGACCAGGCTGGGCTTGAACTCACAGAGATCCGCCTACCTCTGCCTCCCAAGTGCTGGGATTAAAGATGTGAGCCACCACACCCTACTGAAGTTCCCTCTTTGCATATGACTCTAAAAACTAGCAAGCAATGTGCTAAGGGAGTTGTTTAGCAGTGATCTATATCCAAGCCATGTCTTTACTTTTCATTTTGAAATGACACATCACCTTTGATCATCAACCAATCCTAGCAAGAAAGGCACATCAGCTGATGATAATTGGCTGCTTTGTTCTTGTTCCCTGACCTTAATGAGTTCCTTATTCAACTATGTGCCTTTCTAAAACTTTAGATTGTCTTCTTGGGTTTTTCACATCAAAGCTATTTAACAAAAACATCTTAGTCTTACATTTAAGGTATTTACACAGCTTTATTTCGCTATCATGCACTCTGAAACCTGTGAACACATCTCCCAACATTAAGGTTAAAATAATTTAAGCTAGCTGGGCTACTGGGAGAATAATCTTTCCTCTGGTGTCCTCTGTCAACCTGTTGAGCTATCCATTTCTTCTTTACCATGGAGTCTCAGGCATTACCAGGTCATGGTATGTCTTCAGAATATCAATAGACCCCACTGATCTTAGGGCCATTAGTCAACAGCCAGCAGTGGAGAATGGCAATTTGTAGGGGAAGCCAAAAGGCCTCTAGGAGGCCAAGATTTCTTAATGTCCTTTTTCCCAATGGTGAGAAACTCTCTATAGATCATACTGTGGACATGGCTGGTAGAAAAAAGCATTCATAATGATGATCTGTGTATCTGTCAGTGGACTTTCCTTTTCCCCATCTGAGAGCCTGGGTGAGATCAATCAGTTCTGCTCTCTGGGCTAAGGTACCTTGCTTGAGCCCAAATCATTCCATTTAAAGTAACTACTGCAGCCTACGTTGACATCCATGACCCACCAAAGCCATGGGGATGCCTAATGTGTAGACTGCTTCCTGTAGACATTTTGGTGTCCAAGGGCTGTGCTGCCACTGGGGCCATGTTGATCTGAGTGGCCTGTACCAGGGGACATGATGATATCCAGGCCTGGGCTGCTGCTAGTGGCTATATCTGGGTCCATGGCCCTGTAGCAGCCAGGGTCTGTGGTGATGCCCATGGCTTTAGTAACCACTGAAGGCCATGTAGATGACCAGGGTCTAATCAAACACTTGAGTCCATATTGGTCTCTGAGAGCCATGCTTCACCATAGCCATGCTAATCTAGATGGCCTGTGCTGCCATGCAGGGCCATGATGACATCCAAGCCTGGCCTGTAGTGAGGGGCCATGTCTGGGTCCATGGCCCTACCTTAACCAGGGTCTGGGTTGATATCCATGACTCCTGATACCACTGAAGGCTATGCAAATATCTGGGATCTGGGCCGTTATCTGAGGCCAGTTGGAGATCTGAGGATCACGCTGCAGCAGGGGCCATGCAGATCTGAGTGGCCTGCATTGCCACATGATGACACCCAGGCCCACCCTGCAGCTGAGGGCCATGTCTCAGTTTGTGGCCCTATTGCAGCCAGGGTCAGTGTTGAAGTCTGTGACTCATGATATCATCAAATGCCATGTCAATGACAGGGTCTGGGTAGCCACCTGGGGCCATATTGGTGTCCAGGTACCATACTGCTGCTGAAGCCTTATGATAGGAGTGGCCTGTGCTATTACCTGGGGCTAAGGTAGCATCCAAGCCCAGCTCATGTTGGCACCCATGGACCATGCTGCCACCAGGGCCATGCCAATCTGAATGGCCTGTGCTGCCATCTGGGGCCATGGTGTTGTCCAGGCCAGGGCTGCTGCCAAGTGCTATGTCTAGATCTGTGGCCCTACCACAGTCAGGGTCTGAGTTGATGTCCATAGCTACTGATACCATCAAAGGCCGTGCTGATGCCAGGGTCTAGGTTGCCACCTGTGGCCATGTTGGTGTCCAAGGGCCACTCTGCTGCAGGGGCTGTGCCAATCTAGGTGGCCTGCATTGCCACCTGGGGCCATGGTGACATCAAAGCCTGGGCTGCTGCTGGGGACCATGCCTGGGTCAGTGATCCTACCATAGTCAGAGTCTGTAATGTCTGTGGCCCATGGTCCAACAGCAGCCAAGATCTAGGCTGATGTCCATGGCTTGTGTTACCACAGGGGGTCATAGGAACCATGCCTGTTGAAACCTGAGAGCCATGCTAAGCCAGCCCTGTCATTCACTGGCCCCAGGATAGCTGGCCCTGCCTCTCACTGAACACTGCAGCAGAACTGGTTGCACCTCCCTATGGGAGTGCTGACTCAGGAGAGATGGCCCTCACCTCTCACTACAGGTGTAGGTACTGTGGGATGTTCTTTATGGCAGATGTGTTGCTCTGATTAGTTAATAAATAAAACACTGATTTGCCAGTAGCCAGGCAGGACGTATAGACGGGACTAACAGAGAGGAGGATTGAGGGAAGAGGAAAGAGAGGAGGAGACACTGCCAGTCGCCACCATGACAAGCAACATGTGAAGATGTTGGTAAGCCATGAGCCACGTGGCAAAGTATAGATTTATAGAAATGGGTTAATTTAAGATAGAAGAACTAGATAACAAGAAGCCTGAACCATTAGGCCAAACAGTTTAAATAATATAAGTGTCTGTGTTTTTATTTTATAAGTGGGCTGTCGGACTGCCGGGGATTGGCGGGACCCAGAGAGAAAACTCTCCAGCTACATGTAGGAGAACTGACCCCATTGGCATGGGCCTAGGAGAGCTCGTTCTGCCCATCACCTGAGGAGGTGGTACCAGTGGCCCATACCAACCAGCTAAGTTATCACTCAGACCCACATCCTGGGCCCACCCTAACAGCTGCCCCATCTATGACCTTCTGAAGTAAAGGGACTGGTCCTGCAGAATGATAACTGCAGAATATGCAGATAATACTGATAATATGCAGAATGTCCATGACTCAGGACAACTACATGATATCTGAGATATTTTGATGAGGGCCCAGCCAAGTGATGATACCTGAAGTGTACCTGAAGTGTACCTGAAGCCAGAGGCCTGGAACCAGAAAAAGGACTCATTGCAATGAACATTTTGCAGGTGGGGCTGATTGCACAAAAAAGGGGTATACTGAGTAACACACTGAAGCTCCCAATGACACTAGGATGAATGAAGAAGTGTTAGAAAGATGGAGGAGCAAGGTGGGTTTTTGTTTTGTTTTTAATTAATTTGGTGGGGCACACTGCAGGGGTGAGGAACTGGGAGGTGAGTGGGATTGGGTGCATGATGTGAAATTTCCAAAGAATCAATAATTATGTTTAAATAAGTAAATAAAGTAACTACTGCAGCTCCCAAATACTTGGTTTCATCTTTAATCTCATGACAGTTATGGATGAAAACCTGCATCATCAGACAAAATAGTAGCCAAATTGATGACAGGGGGTTTCTCAAACTAGACTTAAAGGTGGGCCTGGTACTGGGCCACACATTAGACAGCCAGTATTCTAGTGCTCCTCAGAGGAGGGCCTCAACTGTGTTTTGGCGTGTTACCAGTATAAGATCTTGACCCAAAGTTAATTTGTTTGCTTTCTTTCATTAAACTAGAAGTAGCCACCACAGCTCTTGGATAGGGGGGTCATCCTGTGGTTATAGGGTGCAATTATCATAGGGCATTTTCATGGCCCCAGAGTTTGTGTTAAAAGCCCTTTTGTATGGAAATTCTAGGGCTAGAGTGGAAATCAGAGCTGGTTTGTTTGGTTTTTGTCATCTTCCTGAGGCTTTATTTTACCTCCCCTTTACAATGAAACTCATTCTTGTCACAACTATTGTAATTTATATTCAGATGCTTTTGTAGAAGGCATGTTTTGTGGTGATATTTTATTTGTGTGCCCCAATAAAGCTTATCTGGAGATCAGAGTGAAAAGCCAGCTACTATATTAAACATATAGGTCAGGCAGTGGTAGCACACACCCTTAATCCTAGAATTTTTGAGGCAGTGATTATCTGGATCTCTCTGAGTTCAAGGCCATACTGGGAACAGAGCCAGGTGTGGTGGCACATGCCTTTAATTCCCAGCAATAGTTAACCATAGAGGTCTGGAGGTCTGTACAGACAAGAAGTGATAGAGCTGGGCAGAAAGAGAAAAGTGATGTAGCTGGGCAGAGAGAGGAAGTGAGATGGCAGGGCACAGAAAGGATATAGGTGTGAGTATACAGGAAGTGGCTTGCTATGGAGGTTGAGGAATTGGTAAGGTGAGATTGTCTGTGGCTTGTCCTATTCCTCTGATCTCAGCTTTTGCCCCAATATCTGGCTTCAGGAATTTTATTAATAAGACCATTTAGCAATTCATCATACATCTTGCATCTTAACATTTATGGCATGAATTCACAAGCCGCTTGCCTGTGGCCTTACAGGCCCCAGCTCAGGCCCAAGCTGCATGCTACTGGAGTCTCCACCCCATGTGGGCCAGAGTCTCTTTGGCTTCTTCTCTCCTTGTGGGTTGTGGGCTCTGTCTGTATTCCCATCTTGGACTGTTACCACACTAGGTAGCTGCCATGAAACTCCCTTGGGTTTCTACTGTTCTACACCATCAGTAGACTTGGTGAGTTAATTAAGATATCATAAAGGGGGAGCTGGAGAGATAGCCCAGTGGTTAAGAACATGTATTGTTCTTGCAGAGGACTTGAGTTCGATTCCCAGCACCCACATCAGGCAGCTTACAACTGCTTGTAACTCCAGCTCCAGGTGATGGCCCTAACCTCAGCTACATGCACATATACAGACATATACACATGTACACATAATAAAAATATTTTTAAAAAGATATCTTAAAGGGAGAAAATAGATCAAAGAGAAACTTTTTTCACATTAAAAAATGGGAAACATTTTTACAATGGAGGGAATTTGGTCTCTAATAACATATTAGGCAATCTACAAATGGAACAATTAAATGAGAGATAATTAATGTTGATGGGATTTACATGTCAATTATGAATATTATTTAATCATTTTTGTTTAGCATAAAAAAGGTTGGTTGAGTGCCAACATAAAAGTTTTAGAAAAACTTGTAAAAACAAATCATAGAGAAATTCAGACCCAACCGAAGAATTTAAAGGTGAACCTATCTCAGCATTGAATTATACAGTTACAGAGAAACAGCCTAAGATTTTCAAACAGCCAACATTAATGTATCCAGTAACCTTACAGGAACTGCCAAATGCTCAAGGCTGTATACAAGCTAACTGCAGTCCTGTGGAAATGTTAGATTTGAGGAGATTTAAAGAAGCTATAGTCTCATATGGTATGCATTCTCCATTTGTAAATCAGATGTTAAACTCATGGTCAACTTGTAATAGAATTATCCCTCAGGACTGGAAAGATTTGGTTACAGCTATCCTAGAGGCTGGTCCATAGTTACAATGGAGAACCTGGTGGAAAGAGGCTAAGACTATAGAACAATGATGTGGGGCTAGAGGTATGGAAACTTCCCAAGATCAACTTCTTGAAGAAAGTGATTATGCTGATATACAAAGACAAACTTTATATGATGACCACACTCTAATTTTATGCCAAATGGCAGCCCTGAGTGCTTGGAACAAAATTGAAGAAGTCAGAAAAAAAAATGAGTCATTTACAAAAGTCATACAGGGCCCAAAAGAAACCTTTACAGATTTCTTATAAAGGCTGTCTTCAGCAATAAATAGAATGATACCAAATTCAGAAGCTAGACAGATAATAATTGAATCTCTGGCTTTTGAGAATGCTAATGCAGCATGCAAAAGGGTAATTAGGCCATTAAAGGCAAGATCAGCACCCTTGGAGGAGTAGCTCAGAGATACAATTAATATTGAATCTCATGACTGTGATGATACTTGAATAGGAGAGGTGATTTCCAGAGGTCTGAAGAAAAATAATGTCAAATTCTTTAATTGCAGTAAATGAGGTCACCTAAAAGGGACTGTACACAGGGCATTGCTAGAAATGATGTTTCTAGCCAGGCGGTGGTGGCACACACCTTCAATCCCAGCACTTGGGAGGCAGAGGCAGGTGGATCTCTGTGAGTTTGAGGCCAGCCTGGGCTACAGAGTGAGTTCCAGGAAAGGCACAAAGCTACACAGAGAAACCCTGTCTCAAAAAACAAAAACAAAAAAAAAAAATGTTTCTTCAAGGAACAATGACAACAGAATGCCCCTACCTTCTGGATTATGCATAAGGTGTGATAAAGTCAGACAATGAACTAACAAATGTAGATCAACAAGGGACACACAAGGTAATCCTTTGCCTTTGCCATTGGGAAACTCCCTGAGGAGCCTCTCATAGGCCCCCATGGCAAATTCAGTTCAGTCCTTTCTTGCTATCATAGAAAAAAAAAACCCTTCCCAGAGCAATTAAATAACCAAATGCCTATTTTAAAAAACCATAGTGCTTGGAGTGATAGAACAGCTATAGCAGAAAGAACAAAAAATTCAGGAGAAACCATAAAGCAATTTTTTGGCAAACTTCTATAAATGAACAAAGACCAAAATTAAAAATACAAATAAATGACATTCTCATTGAGAGTCTTCTAGACATGGGTATGGATGTAACAATAACTGCACCAGAATCTTGGCATCCTAATTGGCCTCTTCAGGAGGTAAACGTTCATCTGTTAGGGATTGGAACATTATCTCAAGTAAAACAGAATGTGAGATAGGTCAAATATGTAGGGCCAGAAGGACAGAGAGGAAAATTAAAGCCATATGTGGCTAATATAGCTATGAATTTATGGGGACAATGGAATACTCAGGTTAACATTCCTCCAACCTCAGAAACAAACCGTAAACTATGTTTCCAAGAAAAATATTAGAAGGTATTTCAAGGAACAGTCACCAGGCATCCAGATTGTACAAGAACAGGACACAACAGCTGCTGATCTTTCAAAGACACCGACAGCTCTACCTTTAAAATGGTTAACAGACAAGCCTGTATGGGTTCAGCAATGGCCTTTAGCAACAGAGAAAGTGCAGGCTTTGGAAGAGCTAGTACAAGAGCAGTTAAATGCTCAGCATATTGAAGAATCAACCAGTCCTTGAATTCTCCTGTATTTGTTATTAAAAAGAAATCTGGTAGTGGAGCAGATTAACAAGGTAATTCAGCCAATGGACTCTCTACAATCTGGAATTCCTTTGCCTACTCTGTTACCTAAAAGGATGGTTCCTTATCATTATCTATTTAAAAGACTCTTTCTACTCAATACTCTTACAAGAAAAAGACAGAGAAAAATTTGCCTCCACAGTGCCTACATATAATAATTCTTAGTTGGTTAACAGATATCAATGGAGGGTGCTCCCACAGGGAATGTTAAATAGCCCAAACCTATGGCAAGATTTTGTATGACGGCCATGGAAAGTAATACGTAAACAATTTCCTCAATAGGTAATTTATCATTACATAGATGATATTTTACTAGCTAATTCAAATGTAGATACTTTAGAGTGTTTGAAGAAGTAAAGAAAATTTTTCCTTGTTGGAGGTTACAAATTGCTCCTGAAAAGATACAAAGAGGAAATTCCTATCTATGGACTGCTGTTGGGGTGAAAAAATGATGAACTGAGTAATTTGTTAAAAACCTCAGAGGGTGATGAGGACTTAGGTAGTTCGAGAGAATTATCAGCTGAAGCTGAGAGAGAATTGGCTTTGGTGGAAAAGAAAACACAGGATGCACATGTGGATCCAAAGCTTGATTGCATTTTGGTTATTTTACCCTCTAAGCATTCTCCTACAGAAATTTTAATGCATAGGGAAGGTATTACATTGGAATAGATATTTCTACCAAATAAACAGAGTAAAAAATTAAAAATTTATGAGGTAAAGATCTCTGAATTGATATTAAAAGGAAAATTGAGACTTCATCAATTAGCAGGGATAGACCGAGCAGAAATTGTAGTACCTTTAACTAATGATGAAATTGACAAATTATGGGCAGAAAGTGAACCTTGGCAAAGAGCTTGCAATAATTTTTGGGGGAGAGATTAACAACAAATATCCCAAAAGCGATAGAATTAAACTTTTAAAGAGAGCTAACTGGATCCTGGCTTGCATTGTATGGGAAACACCAATATCTGGAGCCCCTACATTTTATACAGATGCAAATAAATGAAGAAAGGCAGGTTACAAATCAGGAGATTTAAGTAAAGTGATTCAAGGACCTTAAGATTTGGTTAAAAAATCGGAATATGCTATTCTGATGGTATTACTTGATTGTTTGGAACTTCTCAACATAGTTACTGACTTTCAGTATGCTGAAAGAGTTGTCTTACATATTGAAACAGCAGAATTTATCCATGATGAGTCAGAATTAATTTCATTATTTATTCAGTTACAAGTTATAATCAGGAATAGGAATCATCCCTTATACATAACTCACATCCAATCCCATACATGTCTCCTAGGACCTCTAGCACAAGGTAATGAAGAGATTGATAAACTATTGATAGGAAATGTGCTGGAGGCCTCAGAATTTCATTTTAAAAAAATCATGCCAATAGTAAGGTTTCAAAATAAAGGATTTTTCCATAACATGGCAACAAGCCAAGGAAATTATAAAGAAATGTCCTACTTGTTCTTTTTACAATCAAACTCTACTATCATTAATATGTAACCAAAAGGGTACTCAGAGGAATGAAATCTCTTAGATGGATGTATTTCATTTTGCAGAATTTGGAAAATTGAAATATGTACACCACACCATTGATACCTATTCATGATTTCAATGGGCAACTGCTCTAAGTTCTGAAAAGGCTGATTCTGTAATCACGCATTTGCTAGAAGTTATGGCCATCATAGGCTTACCTGTACAAATTAAAACTGACAATGCTCCAGCATATGTCTCTGGCAAAATGAAACAGTTTTTTGCTTATTACAAAATAAGCATGTTACAGGTACACCACACAACCCTACAAGCCAAGCAGTCATAGAATGATCTAATTGAACTCTGAAGAATATGCTAAATAAACAGAAAGAACAACTCCCAGAAATAGATTACATAATACTCTATTAACTATAAATTTTCTCATTGCTAATAAGAAAGGAACAACAGCTGCAAAGAGACATTGGATAATAGAAAAAATACAGAATTAAATCAGCCTATATGCTTTAAGGATGTGCTGACCTCAGAATGGAAACCAGGATATGTATTACATTGGGGATGAGATTTTGCTTTTGTTTCTACAGGAGAAGAAAAACTATGAATACCATCAAAAATGATAAAGGTTTGATTTGAACAAGAGAGACTTCTTGATTAGAAGAGGTGATAGTTCATCAACCAGCATGACCATTCAATTTAAACTAACTTATACCACTAACAAATGCTTTTTGTTTAATCGGATACAACTTGCCAAAAGGGAACTTCCCCAATGCTAAGGTTGGGGAAGGGTTTTTGTTTTTGTCTTTCCGGAGAATGAAGGCTAAGGAATTTCAAGAACACTGAACAAATGAGACATCTGAAGAAAAAGGACAAATCATCCAGAAAAATGTCCCAAGAAAAAAAGTAAATTAGCCTATTGGTGTATCACATATAAAATTTCATAAGTCTTCCTAAATGTTTGTTTCTGCTGTTCTCTACAGACACTTAACACAAATACTCTTTAAGAAGTCCCTGTTCAATTAAAAATTAAAGCTGGCTTTGGAGTTAGAATGTGGCTCTCTCCTCCTCTAAACCCAAGCATGCTTGTTAAAAGAAAATGCAAAATCTCTGTATCTTGTCAAAAGAGCCACCTCATATGGGACAGAAGAAAAACCAAAATTAAGGGACTATTTCATTGCCACTAATCTCATAATTCTTTGGTTCTATTTTGACTCTTTAAAACTTTTCTTAAGGTATGAATTTTATATCAATATTTATAAGATTTATATATGTATTTTAAAACTTTTGTCATAATATTAATGGTCATATAGAATACTAATTCTAGAAAAAAGTCTTCATATAGATGCCTGTACATATTTTCGTGTTTGAGTCTCTATCAGTTTTCTGCAGGGAATCACAACCATGCCTAACAGCAAATTTGAAGTCTCCAAAAAGATGATAGGGCACCACAATGTCGATTCCATCAGGACGATGATAATACCACTAAGATGACCAACACCATCTAAAGACTGGCTTTGGACTACAAACAGCCCACAACAATTTTGAGATGGCTAGCTGAGATGATCCAGCCTCACAGACTACTCAAGCAACGACTTGAGACAAGCCCTGCACTTTTGCATTATGCAGAGACTGAACAGCAAATGATACATACAGCTACCTCTCCCAGGACTTGACAAAAAAACCTAAAAATTTACTTTTCAGGATCCCCTAAAGATACCTTCACCCCCAGAGAGCAGGAAATAATTTTAAGAACATAACACCCACATTCCCAAGAGGTGGGGCAGGTGGTTTTTGCTCATTCAATGAGTTATGGATAATTGTCATTGTTTAGAATGGTTAGTTACAAGTTGTTAATTGTTAATGGTTAGGAAAAAAGTTAAACAAAGGAAATTAGATTCAGGGTTCTTGTTTGAAAAAAAAAGAGGATATAGATAAGAGGTAGATTATTGAATCTACTCTGAAAAGAAAAGAGAGAGAATATGGATATGATAAGATAAAAAGGTAGATTACTGAATCTTCTTTTAAAAAGCAACTACTTATTTTAAATATTTTATATTGGATTGAATTTGTGTATATTGTATACAAATTATGTATAGTGCTACAAATTTGAGATTGATTTATATAGATATAAGGTAAAAGAGTAGATTATTGAATCTACTTTTAGAAGGCAATTACTAATTTTAAATATTTTACATTGGATTGGATTTTTGTATATTATATACAAATTATGTATATTGATACAAATTTGAGATTGACTTTGTTAGAAAATATTGTACATATATTTCTAATCTTGTTTAAGGTATTGTACCTATACAGTTCATGTAACAATGTAATGTAATTTTCTAGTCCTTGAAAGTTATTACCAACTATTTAGGATAACAAAGAAATGCAGGTTAGTATTAGTCATTAACAATCAAAATTCTAGTCATATTAGATATGTTTTCAAGGTCAAGCAGGGATATATTTTGGATAGACCAGCCATCTTCAAACCCTTCAGAGATCTACAGAACATGGCATTTAGGATGTTTTAATAACATAGATTTTTTTTTTTATGACTATGAGACATGTTTGCTCCTGGCAGCACCAATCTACTTAAAAGAAGATGAAGGGCATTGAAGAAACTCCATTTGGAGTATACTTTCATTGTGGCAAAAGTTAGCCACTGGGCAAGAAAGTGCCCTCACATTGACTGCTGACAGTATGCTGTCCAAAATGGACAAGCAGGACACAAAACAAAGGATTGCCATCCTTGCCAAGGCAAGGTAGGAAGGGTCTTTAGAAAATCCTACTTCACAGATGAGTCGATCAGATATGCTAAGCCTGTAGGCCAAAGAATGGATGCCCCAACATTGTAGAGGAACCTCGGGTGACTGTCCAGGAAGCTAGCTGTTTCTGTCATAACTCATATTTTTTGGAAGTCAATTGTCTGTACTTCTTCCTTACTCAGTTGCTATTATTTCCTTCTTGGGTCTCTGAGGGAATTGAAGATTAGATAGGTATAGTTTTCCTTATTAATAAATCCAGAAAAGAAAGTTACTAAAAGGTGTAAATTGTATAAGTTTGAAAGACATGAAAAGATAGTCTTGATAATGCAAATTAGGATAGAAGGTAAATTAGATATATTCCTTCAGATTTACAAAAATAGAATAGATAATGGAATATTTTCACTGAATTTGTCAAATGCAAATGGACTAGGCATTGTTGATGTACTTATTGCCTGTATATACTATATATAGTTATTGTACTTATTCTATATAATTTTTCTTATATTAGTTATAACTTATTTCAGACAAAAAAGGGGGGAATTGGTGATATTTTATTTGTGTACCCCAATAAAGCTTATCTGGAGATTAGAGGAAAAAGCTAGACACTATATTAAACATAGATGTCAGGCAGTGGTAGCATACACCCTTAATCATAGCATTCTGAAGGCAGAGATTCATCTAAATCTCTGTGAGTTCAAGGCCACACTGAGAACAGAGCCAGGCATGGTGGCACATGCCTTTAATTCCCAGCACTAGTTAAGCATAGAGGTCTGGAGGTCTGTACAGATAGACAGGAAGTGATAGAGCTGGGCAGACAGAGGAAAGTGATGAGGCTGGGCAGAGAGAGGAAGTGAAATGGTAGGGCACAAAAAGGATATTGGCATGAGTATACTGGAAGTGACTCACTCTGGAGATTGAGGAGTTGGTAAGGTGAGATTGTCTGTGGCTTGTCCTATTCCTCTGATCTCTCAGCTTTCACTCCAATATCTGGCTTCAGGTTTTTTATTAATAAAACCATTTAGCAATTCGTCTTACACTTTTGTTGTTGTTATTGTTGTTTTATTTTACATCCTAACTGCAGTTTCTCCTCCCTCCCTGAGTAGTTTTTTGTTTTTTTGTTTTTTTTTTAATTTACACTCATGATATTCATTAATTACACTCATGATATTAATCACATTTGTGGTATTCATAGATTACATTCACAGTATTCATTCAATTATATATATTATATATATATATATTTTTTTTTAATTTTAAATGCTGAATGTCATATATTGAAGGAGGGAGGAGGTCTTAAATACAGGTTTACAGCACAATGGGAGAACCCCGGATGTAGAGAGCCATGCACAGCCGTGCCTCAAAGATGGCACCGGCGTCCAGCTTCTGCCTTCCCGATGGCAGGTGCTCCTTATTTGGCTAAGGCTAGGATCTGGCTTACTTCCACACACCTGGACCTAATCTGGCTTGCTTGCGTATGTCTGACCCTATCGGCATTGTCCACGTGGCACCACGGGGTTGATTGCCCAGTGGCTATAAAGGGCGTGGGCTGGCTTTCTCCAGTAGGAAGATCGAAGGAGAGAGAAGAAGAAGAAGAAGAAGCCCCGGGGTCAGAAGATTGTTCAAGGTTCCTGAATAAACTGCTTGGAGAAGAGCCTGGTGTTGCGTCTTCCTTGCTGGTCGAGGCGGACGCGACAGGTGGTGGCCCGTACGGGGAACCCTTTTAAGGCTCAGAACTCTTCGCAGTCAGGGCAGTGCACTGGTAAGTCCCCAGGTAAGGCGGGGATCCGTGATAAAAGCAGGAAACGTAGAGCCATGACCAAAACGGACAGGGAAAATTAAGTAGAGCCGTGACCAAACCGGACAGGGAAAATTAAGTAGAGCCGTGACCAAAATGGACAGGGAAAATTAAGTGAGGCCGCGACCAAAGCGGACAGGAAGGTTAAGTGGAACCGCAACAAAAGCGGGCAGGAAAGTGAAAGCAGGTGAAGAAAAGGTGCTGCTAGTATCATGGGCGCAACTTCTTCGCACCCAATTTTTCTGGCTCTTAACGATCTGCTCCTTTCAAAGAAATAAGAGATTAAGAAGAGTAACCCGGAGGTTTGGAGAAAGGTTAGAACTGAAATGCAGCTAGCTTGCCCAGTGTTTCTCAATGCCCAGACTCAACAGAGATACCATGACCAGATAAATCAACTAGCAACAAGGGCATGGAAGTCCCTACCTAATAAAGGGGAAGTGAGCAGCAACCTTACTAAGATCCTTCAGGGACCTATGGAACCTTTTTCAGATTATGTGGCCCACATGGTCGAGGCTGCAGGCAGAATCTTTGGGGACCCAGATACCGCGATGCCGTTTATAAAGCAGCTAGTTTATGAGCAGTGTACCAAAGAATGCAAGGCTGTGATCACCCCTTATAAGAACAAAGGTCTAGAAGTATGGATGAAAGTATGCAGAGAATTAGGGGGACCTCTAACTAAGGCAGGCCTTGCGGCTGCAGTTATACAACTTAGTAACAAAAAAGGAGGGAACACTGGGGCATGTTTTCGGTGTGGAAAAATGGGCCATCTCAAACGTAGCTGCCCTCAAGGAGAAGGTAACTTCTATAGTTTCATTAAAGAGTATAAGTAAGTAGATGTTAATATGTTATATGTGAGTTTGTAAAAATGTGTAAATGTTGAGTGTGAGTTTAGGCTTATATGTGAGTTTGTGAAAAAGTGTAAATGTTGATTGTGAATCTAAGCTTAATGTATGTGGTGAAAGAACCTGAGACACAGAAGGTTAGTGTCCTAGCAGACTGCAAAGCAGGCAATCTGAGCGGTTTTCAAAAGCAGAAGCCGCTAAGCTAAGAATGGTGGACGCCAGAACCAGCACAACAAGGCATCCGCAGCTGAGATCTGTGGAAAATCAATGCAACACAGAAAAACCTGAGCTAACAGTGAAAACGGTGCAGTTTAAAATTACTGACTCCGCAGATGGGAGTACAATTAGTGGAGTATGATGAAGATGGGATGTCATCCTAGGTTTGGTTTGGGGAAGCTTCTCCAAGGCAGAAAAGATCCAGTTCAGGCACAGAGTAGACCACCTAGGCAGAGATTGGGTTTTTCATAGGGGCCACTGAGGAAGGAATTCCCATTTCCTGGAAAACAGAGGACCCAGTATGGGTACCTCAGTGGCCACTTCCCTCTGAAAAGTTATCAGCGGCAGAAGAGCTAGTAAAAGAACAGCTTGAGGCTGGACATATACGACCCTCTGTGTCCCCTTGGAATACACCTATATTTGTCATTAGAAAAAAATCTGGAAAGTGGCGATTGTTACATGACCTTAGGGCTATTAATAATCAGATGCAGGTCATGGGTCTAGTGCAGCGAGGGCTGCCGCTTCTAACGGCTTTACCAGCCTCCTGGTATATTATTGCTGTGAATATAAAGGATTGTTTCTTTTCCATTCCTTTAATTTGGATGCCTCGGGAAGTTCATCAGCAGATAGGCATCTTAATCCATACAGCCCTATGAAGGGCATGGTGAAGTGGAAAGATATCCTCATGGGTAGCTGGCATGGCCCCGATCCCGTGCTGACATGGGCAGGAGGTTCTGTTTCTGTTTTCCCACAGGACCGGCTAGACCCTATCTGGGTACCTGAATGATTGGTGCGATGGGCCCCTTAGACGGAGAGACGTGATGACACCCCGGAAGCTGATGTGACTGATCCTGATAGCCCTGACTATGATCGAAGGAGTGGGTGGGATTAGGTGCCCTGGCAGGCCTACTGGTACTTGTCTCCCTGATGTGCCTGTGGTGCATTGTTCATTTAAGGGTTTCTCAGCAGCACAATGCAGTCATGATTATCCAAGCCTTTACAGCCATAGAAGCTGGACAGTCTCCCCAGGCCTGGGGAGAGAGAGAGAGAGAGAGAGAGAGAGAGAGAGAGAGAGAGAGAGAGAGAGAGAGTGAGAGTGAGAGAGAAGAAGCCCCGGGGTCAGAAGATTGTTCAAGGTTCCTGAATAAACTGCTTGGAGAAGAGCCTGGTGTTGCGTCTTCCTTGCTGGTCGAGGCAGACGCGACACCCGGAGGGCAGAAGTTTGCTACTGATGTTTTACAATCTTGCATCTAAGCTGTTAATGCCCATTATTCAGGATACACAGACAAGGAACTTCCCTTAAGCATTCAGGAGGGTGGAACCTGGCAGGGAATTAGCATAAGGAGGCTATCAAGGTCAGGATCTGCAAGCAAGGCAACAGTTACCCAAAACGGGGGCCAGGGACTTACAGGTCCCCCTTTCATTAAATAATGAGCTTCTGATTTGGGTTTCGTGGGACGTCAGCAGGTCATGCCTGCCCAGACCTGAGCAGTTTTTAAAGTCTCAGATGCCATTTGTTTAGTTTCAGTCCAGATTAGGGATCAGTCTAGATTAGGGGCTTAATACTCTACTTTGTGCCAGTGTATACAGGACCTTCTATTTCCACAAACTCTGATATCCAGAGGTAGTAATATCCAGGTGCTCCTAGGAACTCTTGAACCTGTCTCTTAGTCTTTGGAGTTAGGATCTGAAGGATGGCAGCAATCTTACTCTGAAACAGGCTCCTTTTTGCCTCCCCTCAGCTTGTAGTCAAGATAGGTAGCCTCTGATGTACAAAGTTGGGCTTTCTTAGCTGACCTTTTGTAGCCCCAAGTCTGCAACTCTGGCAGCAGTCCCTCAGTGGCCCTTTTATAATTTATTTTTCCAGGAAACCTCTGATAGAAGGGCAGGTAGTCTGTATTTAGTGGATTTCAATACTGGTCTAGGTATGTTGCCCACTGGGTCTCTCCATTTAAAAAGCAAAAATGAGGCTGGATGATCATGGCTCATGACTTAAATTCCAATACTCAGAAGACAGTAGCATGAGGATATCTGCAAGTATGAGGCCAGGTCTACAGAGTAAGTTCCAGGACCACCAGGGCTACATAAGAAACTCTGTCTCAAAAGAACAAAATAAACAAATAAATAGATAGATCCCCAGATAGATGCATGACCTTGCTCTATATAGCCGAAAGGAGGTGGTGCTTCCTGCCATTGTATGTAAACTCTTATAAGGAGTTGGAGAAAGGTCACAAGGTTTCCTTTCCTGCTTCTTGCTTCCTTTTTCTTTTTTTTCAGATGGCCTGGGAATTGAACCCAGGTCCTTTGGAACATCACTCAGTGCTGTATTGCATATTGCACTATACATTCCTACCTCTGTTTAAGCTATTTTGAGTATTGTCACAATTTTGAGGTCATTGTCCTTATGTGGTACATCTGCTTACAGACTGTTTATCTTATTAATGTTAAGCTTTAGTCCTTAAATTATTTTAGTAGAGAAGATTTACTGAGCTATAGTCACTCATGCCTGTCATATCCATAGTTACGTTAGTTAGGTTCTCCAGATTTACAGAAACATATGTCAGATGGATAGGTAATCTTCAAACACTTCATAGACCTTGAGATTATGGCATTTAAATGTTTTTTTTTTTTTTTTTTTTTTTTTTAAAGATTTATTTATTTATTATGTATACAATGTTCTGCCTGTATGTATGTCTGCAGGCCAGAAGAGGGCACCAGATCTCATTCTAGATGGTTGTGAGCCACCATGTGGTTGCTGGGAATTGAACTCAGGACCTCTGGAAGAACAGCCAGTGCTCTTAACCTCTGAGCCATCTCTCCAGCCCTCCTAAATGTTTTGATAACTTAGAATTCTGTTGACATAAGACACGATTGCTCCTGATAGCACCAATCTAATCCCAAAAGAATGTTGGGCTTCTAAGACATTTCCATTTGTAAGTTTGTCTTCTTCTTGGCACAAAATGGCCTACTGGGCAAAGAACTGCCCTTGCCTCAACTGCTGATAGTACAAAGACTGTCTTTTCTGGATGAGTGGGACACAAGGAAAAGTGACTACTGAATTCTGCCAAGAAAAGGTAAGATGGTCTTTCAAAATTCCTGCTTCTGAAAATGGTCTGTCAGATATGCTAGGCCTGTCACCAAATTGGTTGCCCCAATGACACTGAAAAACTTTAGGTGACTA